AATAACATTTCCGCACGGAAATTTCCCCCTTTCCCGTAATTTACAATACAACAACAACAACACCAAAAACTAAACAGGACGAAACTTCAAAACGGTTGCCGCTGCGGCGGCTGCCGCATTAAAGGAGGACGTCGAAATAATAAAGCCACTATTTTGACACTTTACGGAAGTGACGTCACAGACGTCGAAATAATTTTTCAAATATTTTGACGGTGGACGTCGAAATAGTCACTGCCTTTTTATTTCCCTTTATCAACGATAACGTCGCTTGTGAAGCGTAGTTCATGCATGCATGCGAAGAAAACTCGGCGGTGTGAAAATCAGCGAAAATTGCTTTTTATAACGAACCACGCCTTCAAAACAAAATTGCTTTTGTAATGAATTACCCATTTATAACGCATGTATCAAGTGTATCCAGTACTGTGACGGGCTCAGTGATCACAGGCTGCTGCATGTTGATTTATCACTCCCCACTCTCACCAAGCATCCCATTTCCAAAACTATTCACGATTATAACAAAGCTGATTATATCTCGATAAACCGCGAGTTGGCAATCTTCTTTGACAATTACGTCGTTCATTTTCCTCTTAGATCTGTAGAAGAAAACTGGACATTATTTAAAACTAAAATGAATCATCTAGTAAAAATGTTTGTTCCTACAGTTCGTGTACGCACCGATTTAGGTAATCCATGGTTTACAAAAACCTTGCTTTCTTTGCGAAACAAGAAAAAAAGACTTTTTGCAAAGGCCAAACGGTTAGATACCACCCAGTCTTGGGATGTCTACAATTCTGCATTAAAAAACTACACAAGGAGCATAAAACAAGCCAAGAATAAATTCTTTTTTAATGACTTACTGTCCATTTTGAGGAGTAACCCGAGAAAGTTTTGGAATCTGGTTTCACCGAAGAACAACAACTCTGCCATCCAACTACGTACCGACAACGGCGATCCCATTCCAGAGAGAGACATTGCTACAGTGTTTAACGAATATTTTTCTTCCATTTTTACTAACGAGTGTTTGAACACTGTTCCCAGCCTCCCCGAGCAACCTTACGAAACCATGCCTCCAATCAGTGTAAGCGCAGCCGGTATTCAAGACCTCATTGCCAAATTAAAACTCTCATCGTCCGCCGGTTCCGACAACATCAATTCCAAAATTCTAAAAAATACTACCAGTATCTCAAGTGAGTTCTTAAAATTAATATTTGACCAGTCACTATCTGAAAGCTCCCTCCCTTCTGACTGGAAGGTTGGCAGGATCGTCCCAGTTTTCAAACTGGGAAGTCGCTGTTTGGTTTCAAACTATCGTCCTATATCTTTAACTTCAATCGCATCTAAACTTCTTGAGCATATACTATATTCGCAAATTATGAGTCACCTAACAACTAATAAATTTTTTTTCAAAAAGCAGCATGGATTTAGAAAGGGATTCTCCTGTGAGACGCAGCTTTGCGACTTCATCCATGACCAACATACTAATCTCGAGTGTCGGGCTCAGACTGACGCCATCTTTCTGGATTTTTCGAAAGCTTTTGATCATGTTCCCCATCAACGACTACTATCCAAACTGGCTTCACTACGTCTTGACCCGCTAATCTTCTCATGGATACGTGACTTTCTTTCTTACCGCGTGCAATACACAGTTACTAATTACCATGAGTCTGCCCTAACAAACGTTTCATCTGGTGTTCCTCAAGGGTCCGTACTGGGTCCCCTACTTTTTTTAATATTCATAAATGACCTTCCGGCCACCATTTTATCTAATATTCGCCTGTTTGCAGATGACTGTGTCGTATATAACAAAGTAACAAGTTTGCATGACAACATTCAACTTCAAGATGATTTAGTAAAAATTAATAAATGGTGCGAAGAGTGGCTGATGCCATTAAACAAATCTAAATGTAAACTAATCTGTTTCACTAGAAAAAAAACTGTTTTGTCCTACCAATATTACTTGGGCTCCGATTTAATTGAGACCGTTCCTTCGTACAAATATCTTGGTGTAAAATTAACATCAGACCTTTCATGGAATACTCACATTGAAGCCATCTCCGCAGACACCTCCAGGACCCTGGGAGTACTCCGACGTAACCTTCGACCTGCTCCACCAACTGTCCGCAAACTGGCCTACGACACACTTATCCGACCTAAATTAGAATATGCTGCCTCCATCTGGAACCCCCATCAAGGCTACCTTATCAATCATCTGGAAGCAATTCAAAACAGGGCCACTCGTTTCATCCTCTCCACGTACGATAACTCCATCAGTGTCTCTTCCCTAAAAAGTCAACTCAACCTTTCTTCTTTGCAGCTTCGTAGGAACATCTCTCAGCTCTGCCTCCTTCACAAAATTTATTATGACTGTCTTGAACTTAAAACAGCATTATTATCACCTCCCGATCGAACATCATCTCGCCTCAACAATGACTGTACCATCAAAAGGATCTCTGGCTCAACAAACGCTTTCAACCGATCTTTTCTCCCACAAGCTATCAAAGACTGGAACAGCCTCCCATCCTCCATCGTCACCATCGTAGAACCAAACGCCTTTAAATCAAGTCTTCAATCGCACTTTTTATGTTGTTAACTGTTTACCAACCTTTTCCTGAATGTATTATTTTTTGTCTGTTTTTCCAATGTATAATATGAATGATCCCCCCCTTATGTAATGCCCTCACGGGCCCTTAAGGTTCAATAAATGAAATAAATGAAATGAAATGTACATTTCTAACAAATTACAGAAAACTGCAGAGAGCAAAAGGTGTTTAATTACGTTGCCGCGCGCCCCAGGAGCCGCCCTTTCCTGGGCAAACATTAAAAAATGAAAGCCGTTTACAACTACCCGTAACGCCGAATTAGAGCGCAGCTCTTGAGGAGGAGGAGGGAAGGGTACTGGGGGGGTCAGTTGACCTCGGAAGGGGGGGCGGTCACGTGACCTTGGGGTGGGGGTCGCGTGACCTGGGGGGTCACGTGACGATGACGCCATCAGTGATGATGATGATGAGGATGCGGATGCCGATGACGTCATCGTCATCATCACTGATGACGTCATCAGTGACGTCACTGATGACATCATCGGCATCCGCATCGTCATCGTCATCATCACTGATGACGCCACTGATGGCGTCATCGTCACGTGACCCCCAGGTCACGTGAGGCCCCCCCCCCTAGGTCCTCCCGAAGGAACCCGAGGTCCTCCCGAGGTCCTCCCGAAGGAACCCGAGGTCCTTCCGAGGTCCTCCCGAAGGAACCCGAGGTCCTTCCGAGGTCCTCCCGAAGAAACCTGAGGTCCTCCCGAGGCCCTCCCGAAGGAACCCGAGGTCCTTCCGAGGTCCTCCCGAAGGAACCCGAGGTCCTTCGGGAGGACCTCAGGTTCCTTCGGGAAATTTTACCCATAATGCACCGCGCGGTTACGCCGACGGCGACGGCGACGGCGACGCCGACGCCGCTCAAGCCGGAAACGGGCGCCTAAGAGCTGCGCTCTAAAATGGCGGAGATTCCACACAAGAGCTATTCAAAATTCAAATTCAAAGTGTGTGCGTAACGCTGCTTACATCCGCCAGCCTTTTTATATATAAATTCGCCCGAAATGGCTCTCCAAGACTTCGCGCGACTCTTATCAGCCTGAGATTTTCGGTGCTAGGAATTAGTCCCGGTTCAGAAATGGGAACAATTAACCGATGCGCGCCACCGTTATCCTGATACCTGTGATTAATACGCCGAATAACACAAAAAATTGCCGCAATCTAGGAACTAAAGGTCTGTTCACACGATGCATCTTTTAGGCGCGCAACGGTTTCGCGACACTCAAGTTTCGCAAAATGTGCTCGTTCACACGTACCGCTTCACGTGCAACAACAACACACACCGATGCACCGTTTTGAGTGAGCTCCGAATCAGATCGCTATTTATCTGGGGACCTGCTTTGCACATTTTATGCAGTCAATTATTTAATTTTTTTTTCTCACATACTGCACTACTTGGAGCGATCTCGCGTGGGTACGTGCAGGACATGTGCCGGCGCCGAGCCCGTACGCAGTCAATTCATTGCCAAAGCTCCTCTCAATGCACAAGGTATTCATAGAAACGCTACGTGCCTAATCTGGTTACTTCTCGGCGCCCATGTCTGAAAGAGTTTACTGTGCCAACTGTTTCAGAGAGCGCGCATGGTTTCACGTTCGCTTGTAAACAAGGCAAACTTGGTTTCAGTTTACTCGATGGTCTCTTATCCAGCGGTATCGTCGCGACAACAACGCTATGAGCACTATTCTAATCTCGTCAACTGCCGCTAATTGTCTTCGTCCATCGCTGGATTTTTTCCGATATGCTACTCACTTTTCCTCCAGTGGTGCTTGACGTGCTTGCGGAAGCGCCGGCAGTATCCATCGTTCGTGGTTTCGGGTTTTTTCGGATTTGGCTCCGCTACAACACCGGCAGTGAAGTGGTCTTCTCAAACAGCTCGCCCCCCCCCCCCCCCCCCCCCTCAAAGGCCACGTGAGAGCGTTTCTGAGCGGCCATTGGCGGCGCCCCCAGAGTGATTGACAGGACTCGGCAGAGTTTCAGCAAAAGCTCGCTCCAGAAGCGAGGTGTGCGCGCAACGTTTTTTTAGATGCACGCGTCCTTTTCGGACTCGTTCAGACGGCGCAACCATTTCGCGAAACTACATTTCGCGACACTAGATGCGCGAGAAAAATGCATCGTGTGAACGGGCCTTTAGAGGTAGATATTTCTTATAATTTGAAGGTTGCTACAAAATTCATCAATGTCTCGACATCATTATGCGGCAGTGGTGTAACTCTTTTTCTAAAAAGATTATATTCACAACTTATACGGCACAATATTGTACCTTTATATTGTCAGTTGGCAACGTTTAAGATTACTTAACGTTCATGTGCAGTATCAATAATTCTCAAATACCACCGAGACAATTATAAATTCAAATCGATTGGAGAACTTTATTTACAGGTATAATTGAATTCACTAATGATAACAGCGCTTCATTTCCGCTGAAGCAAGTCCACAGTCACGTGAGTGTACAGCCTCGTTAAAACAAAGTCCACGACTCGGTAACTTAGAGTGTTGAGTCCATCTTTCTTAATACGAAACATAGTTCGACGTATAAGCTTGAATCTGAAAAAGACAAATACAAAAGCGGGTGTACCAAGAAACAGCTTGCTTTCAATTGGAGAAATTTCAAACGTTACCTCGTACACCAGCATAATTCCGAGAAACGCGATATAAAATTGATCGAATTAATCGAACTTGCTGGGTGTATAGAATAGCGCACAGAGAAATTGCAAATCCCTGCGTCTCAGGAAAACAAAATGGAAGACTAAATAAAACAAATCGACGTCAGTGTCTATACAGTGTAAGGTCGGCCTGCCATCGAGGTAAGGCGACACTGGTTTACGCTGTGGATGATAAATTTAACCAGTGCAGTAAGACTGCTAGCCTGAAGTCTTTAAACGTGCATCATGCAGTAGTGATACACGACCGCAAGCTGGTGCGATGCTCATAGAGATCGAGACGGCCAGAGGTAGGGGTTGAACCCAGCCATACCCTCCTATATGCTGACAAACCCTGGCAGATCGGCACGAGAAGCGGCCGCCGAAATAGAAAAGGTGGAGCGGCAGACAACGGATGAGAAGAGAGCCACGTGACTGGCGCCCCGCTGCGGTGAGACGCCGAAACACACCTCTCCCGTGCGAGCAATGTGTTTCGGGTCCTCACCGCTGCAAAAGCTGTGCGCTGACGTCCAGGTTCACCGAGAAATGACTCTTAGGTGCTCAGTGCTACCAGGTCCTCGCGCTCCAAATGTGCGACAGGGCACTCTCTGGCTCCGTTGTCGAACTGCCAGGCTACGACCCAGCATCCCTGGGTTCTGTAGCGCGAGATTTCGCTCCACGTGCTCCTAGCTGCGGTACGCTAACACACTCGGTCAACGATGGAGCGTCGACGCTAAGAGCATCCACACTCTGACCTTGGCTATCTCGTGGGCGCCGCCATTTTGTAACATGGTAAAGGCTCGGGCGGTGATATCGTTTTGTTCTGTCGTGGGCACGGTTAACATTTCTGGTGGATGGAAAGGCGTTTCTAGCGATTTAAAAGAAATCTTCCGATAACGGCCAAAGGAGGTGTCAAACAATGGAGAGTTTTAGTAGATCGTTCCCATAACTCCGATAACGATATCCCGATACTCCGCCACCGCCTCCCTTGCGCATGCATAGTATCGTTATCGGGGCTATCGGAGGTATCGGAACGATCTACTAAAACTCTATATTAAGAAAACTGAAGTGTCGTTGATCTGAAGCGTTGATTATTGAGTGGCTCGTGCAACCTGCCAGCAGCACGTGCACACTAAAGAAAAAAAAGGGGGGGGGGGGGGGGGGGGGGCTTTTGAGTTGTTGTTGTTGTTTTTTTTTCTCGAACACGGAGACAGTTATTGATAAATAGAAGAATCCTGGCGAGTGTCAAAGCTGAGAAATGAATACCAGCATTAAACAAAAAAATGAAAGATGTTTAAAAATTTCTGTAATGCGAACGAAATTAGAGCGCAGCCCTTGAGGTGGGCGAGAGGAGGGTACGGAATGGAGGGTATGCGCCTCTTCCTCCTCCCGTCCGCCTCCCCTCCTCCTCTGCTCTTCTTCATCCCCTCCTTTCCTCCTCCTCCTCCGCGTAACCTCAACACCAATTTCCCGCTAAATTTAGCGGGGAATTGAATTGCTGTTGAGGTCACGTTACGTCAACTTTCCCACTAAAGGCGGAGAATCTGAATTTGTTCATAGTTACTGTGACACCAAGTCGCCTGACGTCATTTTCCCCGCTAAATTTAGTGGGGAATCTGAATCGCTGTTGGCGTCACATGGCGTAAATTTTTCAGCTAAATTTAGCGGGGAGATTGTGGGAGGAGGACGATGGGAGGGTACGCAGGAGGAGGAGGGGAGGAGAGGGTACGGGGAAGGAGGGGCATACCCTCCCCTCCGTACCCTCCCCTCTTCCTCCTCAAGTACTGAGCTCTAATTTCGCATTACAGGGATTTGTAAACATCTTTCCTTTTTTCTTTTTTAAAGTGTGCCCCTTTGAGCGTGTTTGAACTATCAACCTCAAGATGCCCCTCCCCCCCCCCCCCCCCCCCAAATTCAGCCCTCACTTAAAATAAATCGCAAAATTTAACCTCGCTCGATGACATCTGAATTTGGCGCGAAGGTTCGGAACGATGGCATTTATATATTCTTATCGTTTCAGTCGCAAATAATATCTTGGCATCGTAAACACACACATATATATATATATTAATAGGGTGTGAAAGGACTTGGGAGACATGGCAACCAGGTCTTGTCAGTTCGGTCTTTAATTTACGACCAACTTCCTCTTCCTTATCCCCATGGCTACTTCGTCGTTCTTCGTATAACCAAATTATGTGATCGCGGTCTAACCGTAACACTACCCCCCTCCTCTGGAGAAGGCGAAGGTACGGGTTGAAGGCAGTTGTCGTCATCGGAGCGCATGGTGTATGGTTTCATTCGAGACACATGGACGATATCTTTGTTCCGTGAACGACCGTCGGGAATAGGCGTCACACGTTCAATTTCGTAGTTGACGTCAGATGTCTGTTGTGTGATTCGGTATGGTCCAAAATACCGGGAGAGAAGTTTTTCTGAACGTCCAACAACACGAACGGGTGACCAGACTAAAACAAGATCGCCGACAGAGTAGTTAACTTGTCTGTGCTTGTCGTTATAACGGATGACCTGTGTCTGCTGAGAAGCAAGTGTGCGGTGTTGAGCCAGTTGGCGGGACTCTTTCACCCGGTGAAGAACGTCTTGTACATAGTCAGATGATGGTTCGGAAACGCTTGGAAGGATCGTGTCAAGGGGCGTTCCTACGTCCCGACCGTAAACTAAGTAAAATGGAGAATAGTGCGTAGTTTCATGGATGGCCGTGTTGTAAGCATAAGTAACAAACGGCAAAATTTGATCCCAGTTGTCTTGATTATTGGAAATGTACATTGCTAGCATCGAGGCGAGGGTTCGATTAAAGCGTTCAGTCATCCCATTTGCTTGAGGGTGGTAGGCAGTTGTGGTGCGATGGATTGTGCAACAATACCAAAGGAGGTGCTGAATGACTGTAGATAAAAAGACGCGCCCTCGGTCGCTCACGAGTTTTCCGGGGGATCCGTGTCGCAGAACAATATTGTGGAGAAAAAACGAGGCCACCTCTTCTGCATTTGGTGCCGTGAGAGCCTGGGTTTCTACGTATCGCGACAAATGGTCGACGGCGACGATTATCCATCGTTTTTTCTGTGTCGACTCAGGAAAAGGGCGAGGGAGATCAATTCCAACACTCTCAAATGGGTGGCTAGGGGGCTGATTGGGATGCAGATAGCCCGCAGGAGCGAGGGTAGGTGTTTTTCGGCGTTGGCAAGCTTCACATGATGTGACGTATCTGTGCACACTTTTCTATAAGCTAAACCAGAAAAAACGAGAGCGGGCGCGGTTGTATGTTCGAAACACACCCAAATGTCCGGCAGTCGGATCATCATGAAGGGAACGAACTACATCAGAGCGTAAATGTCGCGGGATCATGAGAAGCAGGAGTTGTCTTGTGGGTTCATAATTGCGACGATATAGAACTCTCCCGACAATTGCATACATACGTTCCATTTTCGCTGCTCTGCTCCGTGGCAAAGGATGCTGTAAGAGTCGGATGATACTCCGCAGTTTTGGATCGTTACGTTGTTCCGCTGCGATGTCCATTTGGAGGAATAAGGCTTGAACAGGGATCTCGGTGGCATCCGTGTCATCGGTGGTGGTAGGTTGTAGAGGGCAGCGAGACAAAGCGTCGGCATCTTGGTGAGCGTAACCTGCCTTATAAACTATCTCGACATCATACTCCCGTAGACGAAGTGACCATCTAGCGAGACGTCCTGATGGGTCTTTTATGTTGGTCAACCAGCAGAGAGCGTGGTGGTCAGTCACTACTCGAAAGCGTCGCCCAAATAAGTACGGTCGAAACTTGGTTATGGCCCATATTATAGCCAAACACTCTTTCTCTGTTGTAGAGTAGTTTACCTCCGCTCTAGTGAGCGTGCGGCTAGCATACGCGATGACCCCTTCCTTGTCGTGTTTCTTCTGGATGAGGACAGCACCAATTCCATATCCGCTTGCGTCCGAATGTATTTCTGTGGGAGAGCGGGGGTCAAAATGGCACAGTATTGGGTCATTCGTCAGGGACAGCTTTAAGGATTTGAAAGAGTTCTCTTGGTCTTCCGTCCATTCGAATGCTGTATCCTTTGAGAGAAGGCGATTTAGAGGTGCTGCACGGTCAGCGATATCTTGGATAAAGCGATGGAAGTATGAGCAGAGGCCCAAAAAGCTTTTCGGTTGTTTAACGTTGAGTGGCCAGGGAAATTCCGAGACAGCTCTTATCTTGTCGGGGTCAGGACGAATGCCGTCTGCGCTGACGGTGTGACCCAAGATCTGAATTTGGCGGCAAGCAAGATGGCATTTCTTAGTATTAAGTTGGAGACCCGCTGTCTTAATGCATTCTAGGACGGATTGCAATCGTAAGAGGTGCTCTTTAAATGTCGCAGAGAAGATGACAACATCATCTTAATAGCACAGGCACGTTTGCCATCTTAAACCCCTCAATAAAACATCCATCATCCTCTCGAACGTGGCAGGAGCGTTGCATAAACCAAACGGAAGGACTTTGAATTCATAGAGCCCGTCGGGAGTTATGAAGGCTGTTTTCTCTTGATCTTGGTCATGTATTGGTATCTGCCAATATCGGATCGAAGGTCTAAAAAAGAAAAATATTCGGATCCTTGTAAGCTGTCTAAAGCGTCGTCGATTCGTGGTAGAGGATATACGTCTTTTTTTTTGTGGCATTGTTTAGGCGTCTGTAATCTACGCAAAACCTCCACGGCCCGTCTTTTTTCTTGATCAGAACTACAGGTGAGGACCAGGGACTTGATGATGGTACAATTATGTTCTCTCGGAGCATGTCTTTAACATGCTGATCAATTAAGGCTCGCTCTGAAGGAGAGACGCGGTAAGGTCGGTGTCGAACTGGTGAAGCATCGCCGGTATCAATTCGGTGCTTTACGGAGGTTGTTAAACCCAATGGACCATCGTCGATGTCAAAGCATGAGGAGTATTGTTTCAATAAATCCAACAGTAGTTTTTGATAATCTCTCGGTAGTTTTTTATCAACCATGGATGATAAAGAAGAGACGGAGTCACGCAATGAAGTAGACGAGCCTAATAATGTTTCAGCGCACGGCAGAAGAGTAAACACTGGACAAGTGGGGAGGGGATAAACAAAGGCTAAGCAAGTTCCAGTTGATAAACGTTGAGGCTCGTTTGACATGTTGGTGATAGGGACTGTGGCCGTGCCATTGGTCAATGTCGATAATGAAAATGGAAGGGCTAGGTTCTTGCGTAGCAACATGTCGCGGCAAGGTTCCACAAGGACATTGCCATTATAGTCGCCGAAAAAAAAAACTTTTTTACCGCCATGACAAAAATGGTACTCAAAGACGGAATGACATAGTCATGACTCAAACATAGCTTCCTTACTTGAACCGTTTCTAGGTCATAGTCATCATAATTCTCTCTACCAATATTAAGCAACCCAGTGCCGCAGTCGATGAGCGCGTTGCGTTGTGATAAGAAGTCCCATCCCAAAATAAAATCATTGCTGCAGTGAGGAACAACAGTGAAAGACACCACGGTAACTTTGTCTAGAGTGATGCGAGTGGTACACAAGCAACATGGCGAGAAAAGAGAACGATTGGCACCTTGCAATAACCTGCCGTCTGGAGGGGTGCCAACCAAACGAAGTTTCCGTCGCGTGGAGTCGTTCATGACTGAAACTCATGCACCCGTGTCTATTAATGCGGAAAACGTTTGTCCTTTGACGGTTATTGAAACAAAATTTCTTGGGGGAGGCGGAGGCTGGCAAGAATTGAACGAAGCGGCAGTACCTCCTACTGCCGCCGCGTCTAGTTTCCCTCGTTCTGGTAGGAAGTGGATGGCTCATGGGATGGTCGGAATGACGCCGACGAACGTGGCTAAGGCGAAGGCGAGCGCGGACGCCTGTATGCCGATGGTCTCGGAGATGAAGATCGGTTACGAGGTGGGAAGCTTGTTACTGGAACATCCTCGTCGAATGGATACGTCGGATAGGCTGGTGGCGAGTTGTAACTGGAGCGACCAAAGAATCTGTAGGTATCTCCTCGTTCTTCAGCGATGCGTCGGCGACAAAAGCGAGCAATGTGACCTCGGATTCCGCAGTGGAAGCAGGTGGGGCGGCTTCGAACAGTGGAGGTCCACTGGGCGTTCGAGTAAGTGGTCCTCGGAGGTTCGCTACTCATCGGTCTTTGAAACCTGGGTTGGAAAGAAATCTGGGCAGCTGGCTGGGAAAGAAGTCTGGGCGCTGAGTCAGCATGTACACGAGGGCTCATGGTAATTGCAGAAATATTAGGAGCTGCGGCAGAAAGCTCCTCTCGAATGGCGTCCCCTAAAGACAGACGTGTCGCTGCAGTTGTTTCCTCGAGTAATGTGGCACTGTCTGGAAACATAATCCGAAGCTCTTCCTTGATGATGCCACGGATGACTGTGCGTATAGTTTCAGTGACGGGGATTTGCAGCCGCGAGGGTAGCGAGGGTAACATCGTTGAGGTGGTTGCTGGAATCCTGGCTCTTTTGGTCTCATTGAGGCGACGACAGGCTTCTATGATGCTCTCGACGGTGCGGGAGTCACGGGCCATGAGGTATTGGAACCCGTCTTCTGATATTCCTTTGAGTATATGGTGTTAAGTAGTGGAACCACTGACCTGCACTGCAGACCACAGGACCCGGGCACTTAACATCCGCAAGCATGCCACGGCGCGAGACTACTTCTTCATAAACTACCATCGAGAGACTCGCGCCATCCTGAACAACTGGCTGCAGCCAAATTGCTGTCGCTACCACCTCCCGCTCTACCAATCAACCGGAGCGAAGGCGGCGCAAGCCGTGATGTACATCAACGGACCGCATATAAAAAGGGGAGCGCGGGACCAGGCGCGGCGCGCGACCAGAGGAACACTCGGTCTGGTTGAGCCGAGAGCTACCATTCATCTTCTCATCTTTTTAATTATATCATCTAAAACCCTACCCTGGCTTGACGTTCCTGCGTTCTCGTCCCTCCCTCCGGAACCTAACAATGGCCAGCCTTGTCTGCCTCTGACATGGTTGGATTGGCGAGTTTACAGAGATCAAGTACGTCCTCGATGTAGCCGATGTAGTCCTCGCCGGGACTTTGGGTACGGTAAGCGAGACGCCCTTCAGCCAGTTGTTTGCGCTGCGTAGAAAGTCCAAAAACTTCCAGAAACTTCTCTTTGAATCGATCCCAGGACGTGAAAGCGTCTTCGTTGTTATTGTACCAGATCATCGCCGTGTCTTTGAGGTAGAAATTCACGTTAGCAAGTTTAAGCGTATCATCCCAGCGATTGTGCGCGCTCGCTCGATCATAGTCGCGGAGCCATTCGACGACATCTTGGGTGGCTGTGCCGGCAAACAATGGAGGATCACGTTGACGGCATGTGACGGTCGATGACGTTGTGACGGGTGGATTCGGCATGGTTTGGGATGTTACGGTGTTTGTGCCCAACGATGGCTGTAGACACCGGTGATTACCTGATCGAAGCTCCGTGTCGTATTCTCAGCCTTGAGGTAGGGGTCGCCGCACCTCCACCAAATAATAGGGTGTGAAAGGACTTGGGAGACACGGCAACCAGGTCTTGTCAGTTCGATCTTTAATTTACGACCAACTTCCTCTTCCTTATCCCCGTGGCTACTTCGTCGTTCTTCGTATAACCAAATTATGTGATCGCGGTCTAACCGTAACAATATATATATAAATACATATATATATATATATATATATATATATATATATATATATATATATCAGTGTGTCGAACCGAAAAAAATACGGGTTCGGTTACGGTTCAGGTTCAGGTAAATTTATTTTGTTCCGGTTCAGTTCCGGTTCGATTAATTCGATCCGCGACCCGGTGAACCGGTTCGGGGCGCTGAACCGGTTCGGAAATTATAAATGACAAATTGCAACATCAAAATAAATTACAAATAAAACATCTGAAATCAGCACATACGAAACGGGATACATCGTAGTGTAAGGCTCAGGGATTTCTGCCAGGAATGGTTTCTTTATGTGCACTCAAAGGTTACCTCACCGACGTTTACGCATTCGGACTTCATCTAATTGGGTCCGACGCAGTAGCTGTAAAATCCGCGACCTCCTTACAAACCCACTTACAAGTAGAACTCGCTAACTATCCCGCCACCTCGGCGTGCAAGCAATTGAAGGAACAGTGGGGAGAAAATACAGCTTTCTTTATTTGAACTAGCCTTCGGTAACACAAATTAGACCCTTAAAGAAGTTTACATTAAACAAGATACGGAATATGAAAAACATTTCACCGAACGCAACGCCAGAAGGACGTAATAGGATAAATATTAAAATATAAGAGTTCGCTGTCTCACAAATATGTTAGCTTCTAAGTGCCTATACGAAACCGGATGCATTATTATCAAACTCCACAGCCTTTTCTTTTCTCATTCCGATGGAAGCAAGCTTCAAGAACTCGCGCGTTCTAGAATCGTGTTATGAAATGAGCACACAGCAGCATTTAGGATTTACGAGATTGTAGAAAAATAAAATCCCGTGACGCGATTTTTTTTTTTTTTTTTTTTTTTTTTTGCACAGCCTTCCAATTTTCTTTCTTCCGTGCAAGCCGCGACCAGCGCAATACTGGTTCCTATGTCAAGATTCATGGATGCAGCGTTTGTCAAGATTCATGGTTGCAGCGTTTATATTCCTAAGACTGAGTGGAGAAGAAAAATATGTAAGCGAGGCGTGTGTCAGTTGACGGCATGCACTTAAAAAACAAATGGCATTGATAGCACATTCATTGTCAACAGCGCGTGGCCGAACCGTTTTGACATGAGCCGGTAACCGTTATTTTTTTCCGGTTCAGTTCCAGTTCGGGTTCATCGCGATAACAATATAACGGTTCGGGTTCGGGTTCAGTTCCGGAAAAAATACCGGTTCGGTTCCGGTTTTCGGTTCGGTTCGGTTCCGGTTCGACACCCTGGTATATATATATATATATATCAGGATGCGATAGTATGCACCCTGCTGTATTGATGATCTCGAAGGAGGCTTTATTGCTCGCAGCGTCAAAGAAATGGCGGGAACCTACCGCTTCGCATTCGGTTGCTCCTGCTTGTGGTTTAGAGAGGTGTACCGTGCAACGCTACAGTTCGCGTGAATTATGGGCAATCCGCTGAAGCGTATCCTGAAATAACAACATGTCCTCAATGAATTCACAGACGTCAAGGAGAGCGGAACAGGGATACCTGCAAATTAGTGTCGATCTTTCAAGCAGACATCTGCTTGTGTGAGGGGAGGCTTTGTAATTGTTTGTTTTTTCAAGGTATTTTTATGTTTTAAGCTGCAAATTCTACATTAATGTTAATGCTGTCTGCGCAATTCAGTAATAAGGCTTTTTTTTTTTTTTGGGGGGGGGGGGGACATAATATAGGGGGCGAATAGTTACGATATTCAAAGAATTACCTGATTAAGATCTGCTCATTCGCTTCTTCAATTGGTTAACATAAACACATTGTTCCAGTTAAAAACTTGCTGTGCGTCATCCAAAATCACTAAATCAGTCATTTTGAAAAAGATTTGGATCGCGTGGGAAGGCCGGTGCTGCACCTCCGATCCAGTCTTGTTAAGTACGTGTTGCACGAGTACTAACTTTAGCGCACCCTCGTGCTCCTTGCGCGCTCAGAATTTGTCTAATATTTACTGACTACGTAATTTCGATGACGTTCAGCAAGTTTCTCATTGGAGTGGTATGTTTATTTTCACTAATTAAAAAGTTAATTAACGAGTTTGAGTGAATTAGCCAACTTATCATGACGATTGTCCCCCTATCTTATGTCCTGGGCTTGTAACTCACCTGCACAGACGGCATTCAAGTAGCTTTCACGGATTTCTTTTCGTTTTTACAAATTTGTAAAGCCTAAAGAAAACACCCCGTTCATTATCAACATCTGGGACTACGCGTAAGTGGTAGCGAAAACAAGAAAATAGTTCAAGATAAAAGGGAAATTCATATCTTCAAAAATTATCTTTTTACCTTCTCTGTTGTCTCTGGGCATGAAAAAAAAACCGATAAAAATAAAACTGGTAAACACTTACGCTACCCGTAAAGTCAAACACTGCGACAGCTGAGATATGACGTCGGAGCCGCTGAGGTGTCAGTTTTCGGAGCAGGTGGACTTAATGAACGGTAATGTCCGAGTACCAATGAGCGACAAACAGAAACAAACGACAGCGACAAGCTTCAAACCAGTCTTTCGCGATTTGATAGGCTTCGTAGAATAAACGAGGCTATGCTCAAACACGAGCAACAGGCACGCGACGGTATCTTTGGCAGGCTTGCAGCCACTCGTGCTTACTTCACGAGCACCGAACGACTAAACGCCTGCCAAGGGTATAGCTGGTATTCACTCGACGCCATATTTGAGGGCGATGTTTAGAGCACATGCTCAGAACGAGCTCACATTAATAGCCTGCTAGGACCGGCAATCTTGATGGTGCGGGATGCACGTTGCAAAAGAACTGCGGAAGCTCGCCGTCAGCACGGTCTTAGCAGCCGCGCACACACATATGGCCACCAGTGAATACACCCTATTTGGAGTATTCACTGGGCGCCATATTTGTGGGTGCTGTTTACAGCGCATGCTCAGTGCGAGCCCACATTAACAGGCTGCTAAGACTGGCAATCTTGAGGGTGCGGAATGCACGTTACAAAAGAACTGTGGAAGCTCGCCATCAGCACGCGCTCAGCAGTCGCGCACACAGCTATGGCTGCCAGTGAATACATCGCGAGCTTGCAGCATATGTTCGAAGCTTGCCGCTGTCGTTTGTTTCTGTTTGTCGCTCTAGGGGGACTCAGTCATAAAGATGCCTGCGCGCACCATGAGTCCACATAACCGCCTCGCCCTCTCCCCCCCCCCCCCCCCCCCCTTTTTCCCGTTTTGTATTAAACCGAGTAACACACCGGACGAAAATTCCATAGCGTTTTGTAACCAATGAAGGTGTATCAAGTAGAGTGCATTTCATGAACCTGCTAAACAATTTTATTGGACACAAACTAGGTCTGTATTGTGGAAATTGAAGAACCCTCCGAAAATCGCGCGCGCCCAAGTTTGAAATCCAGGGAACGACAAAACTGCATGTGTATGCATGAACCGTTTCCTGTAGTTGGTGTGGCTGCCTGAACATCTTATGCAATGTTATTGGACACAAACTAGCACGCCTTTGTGGTCACTCAAGAACACTCCCAAAATCGCGCACTCAAGTTTCAAGCGTGTAGCTCCACCTAATTCCACGCCTGTGGTTTCTTCGGCTCACTAAACCATTCAGTACAGCCAAAGTTACAGGGGAAAGAGCGTGTTCCAACCTGTTCAAGAGGGGAGAACGGAGGACAGAAAGACTGGAAATCCCAGGCTCTCTCTCCTGCTCCTCCTTTCCCTTCTCTTGAAAAGATTGGGACACGCTCTCTCTTCTGTAACTATGGCTGTACTGCACGGTTTTAATGAGACGGAGTATAGCTTTATTCGTTGTATACAGAACCGTATATAGAGAGTTTGGCCATTCGTTGGGAAGTATAGGAGGCAAATGAGAAGGCGCCATTGGCCGAAGGCGGGCTGGACGCCTTCCATGAAGTCTTCACAAATTCGAATGCGGCCGACCAGAAGCCGAAAATACTACCCTGGTGGTGGTCTCGAGAAACAAAATTAACAAATGCGTTGGAGTAACTCTCGGTGACAGAAGATATGGTGCGCGTGATGTTTCAATCACGGTCATCCAAAATCATGGTGGTAGGAGCGTGACTAACGGAACGATCGAGATAATCCGTACGCCAGGCGCCGAAGGCCGGGAATCTGCCGTCCGAGTGGTCACACTTCGCACGAGCAAAGCAGAATTCGAGCGGCACATTCGTTTCTTAAGTCTTTTTGCTTGATCATAATCGAAACATCACGTTCATCCTATTTCCAACCATGAAGAGTTACTACATTTAACCCTTACGCTCTTATTAAAATCCTTTCTCGCCAACACCGCTAGGGGATTCTTTTCGGCCTCTGGTTGACCAAGGGAGCATGCCAAGCCCTCTACCCGCTTCTGGTGCACGCCCTGGCTCTGCGCACTCCTTCCATCGACTAAACTCTCTCTAACACGGCTCTGGTTTTGTAGCCCGAGAACCTTTCTGGAATAATTATCGAAAACGCTTTGTGTTTATTGATCCATTATCAGCAGTCTCATGTTTATGTTTCAACGTACCATCATGGTATCACGTGGCAACGTATTGTCACATGACGTCACAGCGCGACGTGACGTCATGACATCACGTGACTCAAGGTGTCACCTAGCGGCGTCACTGTGCAACTTGACAATGTCACTTATTGGTGTCAGCTAACGCCAGGTAACAGGGGACGTGATGCGCGGCGTGACGTCAATGTGGAATATTTTGGCGGAGTGCCGAAAATGGCCCGAGTCGATATGGAGCGCGGTCGACGGCGCGAAACCCGCGAAGTGTACCACTAACTGCTGTCGCAGTAAAGAACGCTCGAGGCACACCTAAGCACTTTTTATGAATTTAGAACGCGAAAGATGCACGGCGCTCTTCCGCTTTTTTCTTTCGTCTTCGGCGTACTTGTGTCGACGGTCGAGCGCGCGCGCTGTCCACGGCGCGCTGACTATGGGCGTGGGGCAATGGAGCCGCTGCCTCGCGGACACGAAGCGCCATGGTGTGGCGGTCGTTGAAACTGACGCGCAGCGGCCAATCAGAGCCTCGTCGACACGCGCCAGGCAATGGGACCTAAGCCGAAATCCATCAGCTTCACTCCGCTCCTTTGGGGTCGGGTAAACTAGGTGCTGTTTGGCTAGGCTTTTCGCGTGGTTTCATAGCTGGGAGCTGGCTTCACTTGGTGCCGTTTGGCGCGGCTTCAAGCTGATGACGCTGGCTCGCTCCACGGGACAGTTAATGATTTCGCATTAGTGTGTAGTGTCCTTCCAGCCCCTCCTCACCTGGTGGAAACATCGTCGTCTTCGCCTCCCCAGCCCCAGAATATATTGGAAAATCCGTTGATATGTTTGAAGTGCGCCGCTCGCATTGCGGAAACTCCGCCAAATATCGTTTCGTACGGCAGCCTAAGGGCGGGAAAAGCAAGAAGGAGAAGAGGTTGGAGCGATTTACAATGCAGCTGGAAACGCTAAAGGCTGCTTCAGACATTTACGTTTCAAATGTGACCGACTGCATGGTTTGATTCTGAGTGCTTGTGTACATATTTTTGCATATGATGCCACAGTAACCAAACCAGTTGTGCTGACTAGAGTTACTAGGAGGCTACGTTCAGAGTATTGGCACCTTTTTCCCCCATTGTCTGATGCCGCCCGACCTATGCCCATTCGTGCGGTCGGGCATAGTTCGGGTCACGTGACATGATTTTACGCGCCACCGACTGGCCGCCGCCGTCAACGTGCATGCACGCTGCCATCTTGGTTCTGCGGTAGATACGGTGTTGGAAGATCACACCGAAGAACGTCCACGATATTTTACTCGTAATTAAACACCGGAAAACATACGGCCTACTTATTTTCATCGCCATAAGACCCCGATGAACACCAATGTTTTTGCCCGACACCGCAAATTGACACGGAAAAACGCCGAACGTGTGGAAGAAAAAACCCGAAAAAAAAACCCAGAATTCGAATAAAAATGAACCCCGAAAAAGTGGAAGCAAACGGCATTCCATGCTTTTCGTTCCAGGTTCGAAACGTCAAAGTATAGTGCTGCGATTTCTTTTTCACCTTCATTTATACGACTCAAAGGAGCGTATTAGTACCTGTATTTCATCTTGTCTATGCACGACGACATGTGTTTCGGGAACTGGTCGCATGTGTAGAGATTCAGGTCATTTTCAGGAAGCAGGTCAACGTCATGAAGTACGAAACAGCTGTGCCCGTGGAGCCGCTCCGCCATATCGTACCCGACGTTGAGCAGCTTCCCACGATTGAAGCTTGTGTGCGCCACCTGCGCTGAAACGAAGGGAAAGACGAGTAATCCAGTGGCGTCGGAACAGAGGCCCGGGGCGTTACCCCCCCCCCCCCCCTCCTCGCTCTCTCTCTCTCTCTCTCTTTAGAAATTTGAAAAAAAAAAAATTATTTAAAACTATACGAATAAAAAAAAAACTTGGAGTTAAGCTTCGCCTTCAAGAGTGGAAGGCGATAGCGCGTTATCGGGCCCCGGGCCGTTCGCATCGCCTTCTTGTTCGCTTCTCATGCTCAGAGACGCGAGTACGCTCCGAGATCCGGGGACGCTACCGCATCTCCAGATCGTCCTGCCGCTGCTGTCGCCTCATTTCGGCCTGACAGGCACGCATATAAACATATAAACTCCCGCTCCTTCCTAAGTCGTGCAAGCGTGTCCTGCGTTGCCTAGTCAGTAGCGTGTCTGGCTCGCCACCAGAAGGGTCGTGGGTTCGAATCCCCCGCCTATAATTCTTCAAACGTTTCCTTTAAAGGCCGACGACCAGACGCGACAGAAGATCCACCTCACCGCGGGGGAGGAGGAAAAAGGCAACGGTGGATAGGGTAGAAGGGGGAGAGGAGGAAGCGAGGGAAAAGTGCAAAGCGCGAACTGGTCATCGGCCTTTAAGGCAAATGAATTACTTTACAAAGTGAAATCGTGTGAGACGTGCGGCGACCTTTAATTCGCATTACATGTCATGTTTTAATCACTTTCGCTCCTCGCGTGGCGTCACGTTTCCCGTGAGCGTTGTGAGTTGTTTGAGATTCCCGCGCGAGGTCATGTGGCTGTGACGTCATGACCCTGTCGACCAATCAGGATTTTCCCGTCACGCCATCGACGCTGGCTTTTCTGCGACACGAGGTCCTTAACGCTATCGCCTTAAAATATCCCCCCCCCCCCCCCCCCACATACACACACCTTTCGAATAATTCCAATACCTCTGCTAAATGTATTAAAGTTCGAATGAAGTATGTGACTTTATTAAAGAGAAATGTGTGCTACAGTCGCAACTGAAGCTGATTTCCACACGAAGAAACGCATGTATCCTACATCTCTCGGCTGGTGGTTGTTATTGTTGCATTTTAGTGACCGACGCATCCTGGTCAATTGAAACGAATCATCCGTTTCAAAAATCGCTCACTAAACGTATAAAACACATGGCAGCGCCAGAAAAGCCAGCGCCGCGAAACGTGCTGTTCTCAGACCGCACGTGACGTAAGACCAATAGACCGATCTCACCAAGCGTTCGGCGCATGCGTGACGCCGCCATAACTTTAGTTCGCAGGTGGCAGGCAGCAGTGCACAAGACGGCTCGTGCAGCCTCATGCTCCACACGCGCAGAGCTCCAGCGAGGTTGTCGCACGAGCAGAAAGACTAAAGCTCCCTCGATGCATTGCGGCAGCGGTGGCGTAGTCAAACTGGCTGGTGAGATCGGTCTATAGGAGGTATTCACTGGACGCCATATTTGTGGGTGATGTTTAGAGCGCATGCTCAGAACGAGCTCACATTAATAGCCTGCCAAGACCGGCAACCTTGATGGTGCTAAAGGCACACTCCAAAAGGACTGCGGAAACTCGCCGTCAGCACGCGCTCAGCAGCAGCGCACACGGATATGGCCGCCAGTGAATACTCCCTATTGAACGAAGCTCTAAGATTGGCGGCAACGTAACGCTGACAACGTTTTCTAGGCGGTCCCCATCGATGCTGGACCATGATCACAGACAGCCGAAGAAACTCAAAGCGTGGTTTTTTTATGATCGAGCATCCTGGCTTCGTGATTGGTCCTTCGGAGTTCCCATCGGCTAATCCCGCACTCTCAATGGCTGCCGGACAATAATGAAATGCCGGGATCATAGCCACGCCCTCCGTTTCTTAAGCTGTTGGTCACCAAGATGGTACCTTACTTCTCGCTATCCCTCTTCTGTGCCTCGTTCCACAAGATGGATGACTGAGTGCATGATTCGCATCATCCAAGCGCGGCACGTAAACCATCAACATGTACAGGGTGTCACAAAAGAAAATTTACACGGTCTTTTTTACCGCAAAAATAAACTAGGCATCGCCGAACGCTTAAGGTCCGTTCACACTCTTGCAACCGAGTTCGACCGAGAGAGACCAAACCGGTTTTTAAGCCTCTTGCGATCTCTTAGGACCAGCTCCGCTCAGCGCATCAGGTCCCAAGAAGTCTTTCTCGGTCGTACTCGGTTGCAAGAGTGTGAACGCGCCTTTATTCTCCGCCCAAAGGTAGTGCTATAGGTCACAACCAGATGACAGTTTCAGCCCGATCCGATTACTTAATCAAAAGTTATAAGGGATTTTCTGAAAATTTCAATGGGAAAATGGCGGCCGACGGAGTTTTCAAACACATGGGGCTTTATGGCACCAGAAACCAAAAACGGGCGAAAATGGGCTCCATTTTCCCATTGAGATTTTCAGATCACTAATAACTTTTGATTAACTTATCGGATGGGGCTGAAACCTTGGCATCTGGTTGTGACCTCTAGCTCTACCTTTGGGCGGAGAATGAGCGTTCGGCGATGCCTAGTTTATTTTTGCGGTAAAAAAGACCGTGTAAATTTTCTTTTGTGACACCCTGTACATTCCGAAGATGATCGAAGCACGTAGGTAAAGTAAGTTTGTTCATTTATTTATTCGTTTATTCATGTATTAATAATACCCTCGAGGTATTACATTGAAGAGGGGAACTATCCTCGAAAACTATACTATAAGGGAAAATATTATCGTGAGCATTTTTAAACAAAACACTATCGGTAAAGTGACCCCGGTAAAGTGACTCCGTAAACAAAACAATATCGGGATGTGAAACCGGGACAGTCCCGATTTAGAAATGCCGTCTCGCCATTTTATATGAATAAAGCGAAGTGTCCCGTTATCGTTGGAACCTGCTTGCGAAATCAGTACTAAGCGTGTGGAAAGAAAAACAAAGCTTACTCGTGACAGTGTAATAGAAAAAGTATAGTATAAAAATGTTATCTCCAGAAGAGTATGATTTTTAGATTTTCTGTGGCCGCGCAGAGGAGTGTTCGGAGCACATTTTTATAGTACCACATTTGGCATGCTTTGATTTTGTAGAATGGGTAAAATTAAGAAAGGTACTTGTGTACTCAACTATACTCATCGAAAAGCTACAGAAAAGTGTGCGTTTTCACACTGCACTGAATAGTAGCAGAGCTTTTTGTTTCTGTATCGCTTCGTCCTCCCTTTCCCCATGGTGTCCCGCTTTCTACTCTGAGCAGTGCGGTTACCCCAGTTATATAAATAGGGAGTTTTAGTAGACCGGTGTTTCCCCCTCCGCAAACCCTCCGCTACGAAGAAACCGCCACTGCGCCTGCGCGCCGATGGCCTTTACTGTAGAGTTCCGGGTAGCGGAGGGGAAACACGGTCGACTAAAACTCGCTAATGGTGTTAGCGGTCGAAACGGGAAGGCAATTCCAATCATTTCATGTCTGCGGTATAAAAGAAAACAAAACAAATATATATATATTAAAATTGGAAACACCGACCTGATGACTACGAATAATCCGATAAGAGATGTAAGATGTCATCAAAGAAACAAAGCCGTTAAATCTCTTTAACCTTTAAAAAAAACAGCAAGAGCTCGCCGTCACCTGCTCTATGATGTAGATCCTGTAGTCAAGCTCTTGCCGGCGAAGGAACTGGTGCATGTGGTGCAGAAAGATGCGAAGCTGTTGCGCGCGGTTTCGGTACGGGATGATGAGAGCGACCTTGTGCCGAGGATAACAGTGCTCTGGACGCCAGTGTCCTCCGGGCTTCAGGTGCGAGAACATGCCTTCGAGATCTCCTATTGACAGAACCGTTTGGTTCACCTCAATACTGCCCACTGGTAAAAAGAGAGCGCAAATAGAGTCACCGAAGCTCGCAAGGAATATGGTTGTGCTTCTCGAAAAAATACGCGGACAAGGAGGTCTACACGACGTTTTGGGTGGACGCCCTTCTTCAAGTAAGCTCCCGCGAAATTTTGATAGTCACTGATTTACCTCAAAATTGGTTAGACAAATTATTAGACACATCTAACATGTAGGTCTTGACCTACATATGCCCTAATTATCCATATAAAGAGAGAAGTTAGTAATGCTCCGCAAAAAACAAGATTGTCTTTTTTTTTTTTGCGATTTTTGGAGCAAAAACGAGTATAGAGAGTATCGACACCCCGCTTCACCGATCATCTTGTGGGCGCTGCCATTGTGGTATTCACTGCAAAGCGGGTGCGACGATTCGAACACGCTACTTCCAGAGCTTTAGATAATATGCAGGAAGCTCGGGCAATATCGTCTCGCTGCAAGTCAGGAACTGCTTTAAGAATTCTAGACGTAGGAAAACCGACTCCTGCGATCTCAGATGAAGCTTCAGACAACTGGCACAAAGTATTTTAAGCACCAAGATGGCTGAAATGTCGTTACTTACTTAGTGACTCAAGTCTAGACTAAACACCAACACATTTGCTTCGATCGATTTACCTGCATTTCCTGCACCGTTGCAGAAAAGTGTAAGGCGGTGTACTTCCGGTCGTATCTGAATACGCATACCGGAAGTGCACTACCCTTCACTTTTCTGCACCGGTGCAGGAAATGCAGGTAAATCGAACGAAGCTACTGCCTACAAACAAGTCCGCCGCGCTTGCCCACTCCGGGCGGGGCCATTGCGCTTGCGCAGAAGCCAGGTTCGCGTGAGGCGAGGCTTCTGCGCATGCGCAGTGCCGACGGCAGCGCCACCGCAGTGGCGTGATGTCAGAGAGTTGGTGCATACAGTGGTTGATTATAATTAGGACAGATATTTTCTTAATAAATTGGGTGAAACTTAACTGAATGCCATTTTAACCATGTTTTTATTTTATCAGGTTGGGCAGAGAGGACGTGAAAATCGTCATGGTAAGTTGGCTAATTAACTAAAATCCTTTTTTTTTTAATTATTGGTCTATAGGGTCATACTGGAATTGCAGATTTGACGGCTATTACTATTAGATGTCTGACCAATCGATATAATTTACGAAAAAGCAATAGATCTTGAAATATTCATTTATAAATTTTCACGTTTTTTTAGATCGACTTTAAAAAAAACACTCAAAAAGACGCCACACTCCCGGCCCAGAACGACGCTTGGAAAAGTGATGCGGCAATTGTCTCACCACTATCTCGGAAGCGTGTCCTTGGTGGGTGCGCCAACGACACAACTGACGATGTGATCGAAACGGCTACGTCAATCTTCTCAAGCGTCATTAGGGTCGGGGCTTGCGGCGTTCATTTTAGGCGCAATTTTTACATCCGGCAAAAAAAAAACGCAAAAATTGATCGACTATATTATCTAAAAAAAAGCATTACCTTTTTGCTTACATTCTTTAAATTTGTATGGGCTCTAATATTAATTTCAGACAACAATGCAATTGCAACATAACCCCTAAAACCGATCATTAAGAAGTGCATTAACAGATTTAAGTTAATTAGTGAACTTACATCGTCGATTCTCCCCTCGTCTAATGTCCGCCGAGCCTGATAAATACATGGTCAACTTAAGACAGCACTCGTCTAACTCTCACCTCCTTAAAAAAAAAAAAAAAAAAAAAAAAAAAAAAAGGTATTTTCGAGTTAAAATCAAACACCCTAGCTGAATACGTATTGTACACTCTGGAGGGAACTTCGAGGGGTAATCAAAGATTCCTACTCACCAAGGGCGGGTGGCATCTCGGGGCAGGGTCGCTTCAAATTCGTTGAGTCGTTCCGCTCAATAGCAGGCGAATACTCTATCAAATTTCGGAGGTAGCGTTTCCTTAAAACCTTAAAACCGGGTTTGGGAAGCGTTGTCGATGGTAAAGGGACAGCGCCAGTTTTCGCTTGACTTATGTTCCCATAATTAATCAGCTCGTCGGAGGAGAATCGTAGCAACGGCACGCTGGTCTGCAGGTCAATGTAGACATAAATGCAGTAGCTTGAAATAACTATGAATGCGAGTGTCAACACCAGGTTCATCTTTTGGTGCCTCAGCGTCGCCATCAGGGCCTGCGTGATGACGTGAACTCTGGAATGCAAGATCGAATGAGAGAAGAGTGACATTTCTGTAGCTCACGGGACTCGCGAGACTGTAGAAATTCGTTTCCGTTACAGTCGGGAAAAACGCCGAAAAGAGATCGGCACACGCGGATTGAAATACCTGATCGGCCCACATCCGCGTCGGGAGTTCCTTCCTTCTACAATTTCTTCTTCTGAAAAACAGTATATTTGATGCATTCCTCTGTTCGAATGCAAAAACGACCATCGCAGCTCGGAGCACGTGGAGCGAAAGCTCGCGCTACAGAACCCAAGGATACTATGTGTCCCTAGCGGCTCAAGTGCATTCTGGAAAACGTTTATCAACGAATGTGTTAGTATTTCAGTTTCGGTTTCCTCAATCGTACCGCGGCCAGCCGCCAGCGGACACCGTGGACTTGCACCATGCCACTCAACGCAGCGTACCTCACCGAGCCTTCGTTGGTTGACCTCGTGTGCAATATACCCCGTGTCCCAAATAGCGGCCAGGCTCTTTAAATCGACCGCAAAAATCGGTTTCTTAACCTATCGCGTTCCGATTTCGTACAGCGTTGGCCACAGGTAGTGCATTTTTCCTATAAAATTCGCAAAGAGCGAACTTACCTGAGGAAAAAGTAAAAAAAGAAAAAGGCTTAACTCCTATGGAAACGCAGCGAAGGCACCGGTCTTCAAACCACGGGGCGCCCTGTGGTTCGAAGACCGGTGGCTCCGCTACGTTTCCGTAGAAGTTAAGGATTTTTCTTTTCTTTTTTTTAATTTTTCATTAAGTTCGCTCTTTGCGAATTTTCAAGGAAAAATGCACTACCTGTAGCCAACGCTGGACAAAATCAGAACGCGATAGGTTAAAAAAACCAATTTTTGCGGTCGATTTAAAGAGTCTGGCCGCTATTTGGGACACGCAGTAGTTTCCCCGACCCCAAAGGAGCGGAGTGAAGCTGATGGATTTCGGCTTCGGTCCCATTGGCTGGCGCGCGTCGACGAGGCTCCCATTGGCCGCTGCGCGTTATTTTTAACGACCGCCACCCCATGGCACTGAGTGTCCGCGAGGCAGCGGCTCCACGCCCAAGGTCAGCGCGCGCGCTCGACCGTCGACACAAATACGAAGCAAACGACAGAAGGGGGCGGAAGAGCGCGGCGTGCATGCTTTCGCATTCACAACTCATAAGTGCTTAGGTGTACCTCGAAATTTTTATTCGCTGCTTTGGTCTTTGCGCTCTATCGCTGGATGATACTTCAGAATGCAAGATCGGAAGAAGTGCAAGCCAGCTGGGCGTGTTTTCCCAGAGAACCAGATGGACCAGTGGCACACACGTCTTTGATCCACAGGGTGCTCACACTGCTCGGCTACAAGCTCGACCGCAAGCTGAGACTTCAGAGTCCGCTTTCGCAAAGACCACCTGCCGGCCAACACCGGCGCCAACCCCTGGAGCCACATTACGGGGGTGCTGGTGGACTCTCTGCGTCGCTGGAAATTCGGGCGGCTCGTCCGCAAGCCATGCACGCAGCCCTGGCCAGGCGCTCGTGACCGGCCTGCTATAAGTCAGCAGCCGATGGCGGCCCCACGACGACCACCGCCGAGAAGATCGCTGCATGCCTAACGCTCTTCACCCTCCTCAACCGCGACATCAACTTCTCACCCTCTGCACAATACCATTTCATGATCGCTGGACGCGGCGCCGTGGGCCTTCACGGTACGGGCGACTTGCCTTTCTGTGGCGCCGCGGCTCTCCTGAGCAAAAATAAATCACTATCACAACTTACTTCTTTTTTTATTGGCCTTCCCGATCCTGATATACTCAACTTCCTGTCTTTTTACCGAAGTGATTAGACGCGCAATTTGCTTGAAAACAACATTGTGGGCATTCGTTCTACACGTTTCGCACCTCGAAAAGATGAATCCTCAAATTTCGATCAACTTCTTCCTTGCCAAAGGTCTGTGTGTTGCAGCGAGAGGCGAGGAGCACACGTCGCGCGGCTCCCAAGTTCCGTAGATCGCCGATAATGATGATGGTAATTCGCGGATTTTTCTTTGTGCTGTTTAAGCGGCCGCCAATGGCGATCTAGGAGGCGTTTTGCTCAGCCAATGGGAGAATGGCATTTCAGACATTTCTTTCGCGTTTGTTTTGCGGTTACAGATGCCGCCGGCAGATTGTGCAGACATGGCCTCCGAGATTTTTCTCTCGCTACCTGCGTTCCTCAGGTCATTGCGTTCGCGCGATAGAGACGCAGTGTGTCTCTACCGCGCGAATGCAATAGCCAGAGGAACGCAGGCAGCGAGAGAAAAATCTCGGAAGCCATGTCTGCACAATCTGTGCCGGCAGCGTCTGTAACCGCAAAAAAACGCGAAAAAAATGTCCATTCTCCAATTGGCTGAGCACAACGGCTCCTCGACAGCCATAAGCGGCCGCTTGACGAGCAAGCGCGCGCTCAGCCGCGTTGCCGGAGGGGGGCTGCGGCGGCTTCGCGAGCAAGCGCTCGGCCGCCATGGCAGGCGTCGCCCGAGGGGGGTAAGGAACTGCGGCCGCTTCGGCTCCTCTCGGCGCCGAGGAACAAGGCGGCGCCATCTGTACATCGTCGGCAGCCGCAACCTCGCCAGTAGCGAAACATGGCCGTCCACGCCAGTACACCGCAGACGAACTACGGGAGCGGAAGAACGACATTCATGCGTTCCCATTTGGGGGGGTCAACTTTTGAACCCTTGGGTTATATTAATGAAATTTACAGGCTGGTGGTCACGCTAGAGGGTGCATAACAAAATTTCAGCCCTGTCGGTTGAATGGGAAGGAAGTTAGAGCAGGTTCTATCAGCGATATGCCTGCATTGTTTAGTTAATCTATCGTCAGAAAACTAGAACAATGTTCAAGATTTGTATTCGCTAGATATGTAGTAGAATGCCTAGGGGGTGCGGCTATGGAAAGTGTTTTTTTTTTTTTTTTTTGTAAAAAGTCATTTCCACGAATTTTCTCTTTTGCAAAATTGGTCAACTGTTTGGTCTTCTGTGTCTTCGACAAAATGTCAACAATTTTTCATAAAAGACATTCGTAAAGTGCCAAAAATTTAGGTAGCCACATTCCTCATTAAATTTCAGTCCGGAAAAGTGAAGAACGAGTCTTCCCTGTATTGCCATTATCAAACGATAGATTGACTAAAATGGAATTTATACCAAAAAGTGGAACGGAGAAGAATGTGTTCAAAGTGCTCCAAACCCTACCTTTTCTTTAGCTTTGGTGGACAAAAAATAATTATGAACTATACAGTGTAAACTAATTAAACTTTCTGGGGATACTCTCTACGTAGATGTTGGTAGATGTAAATATGTCATTTTTCAAAATTAACTTTTTTTGCAAAAATTTGTTTTTCTGGGGAGTGTCTCCCCTTAAAGGGCAACTCCGCTTCATTTTTGATATTTAGAAAACTATGTAGCCCTCTTCAGTATCAAATAGGAAGACCCTATGTCAAATATTACGATCTAATTCCGTTTATATATTTAATAAACTGGCCAGCAAACCAAGCGAGCCAAAAATCGCCGAAATCTGCCAACTCTAGCGTGCGGCGCGAAGCGCAATCATCAGCGCAGTCAATGCCACGGAGTTGGAGCAGCCGACATTGAGCCACTACGTCAGAGGCATGACTACGTCATTCTCACGTTTTGTTCGTTTTTACTTCTTAGAGCGAAAATGAACGATGACGTCATGAGTTTCTCCTCCCGGTGTTGGCTGACCGGGCGTTCACGTGATCACCGTAACGCGGATGCGCTAGTTTGCGCTGCCCTGCGCGCTTATCGGCCCGTTTCTCCGCTCTTCCTCTCCTCTTTCGTCTTCTCCCCTTCCCCCTCTCCCCCGGGCCATCACCGTCCACGCCATGCGATGCGACCTGCCCACGCGTCGCGTGTCCCGTTTCTCGCTCCCTCCCGAACGTCACAAGACCACGTGGTTTGACGTGACGTGGCCATGACTCTGACGACCCGAGAGCAATGTTGCCTGACGCAACCGAAGTTTCGGTATCAGCTGATGTTTAAGTTAGGATTACACAAATATTATTTCACATTTCGCGAATCCGAAAACAGATTTGTTTAGTAGTGCTTTGTATATTTGAATCCCATGTAAGCCAAAATTTTTCGGAATTGAGCGGAGTTGCCCTTTAAGAAGTGCTTAGGTGTCCTCGGAATTTTTTTCATGCTAAATGGTGTTCCTCAATTTCCAAGCCTCGATGAGAAACCCGACAAAATAATTTGTTTTCTTCCTAAATATGTGAAACTCGCGGTAGGGCTCAAGCTCCTAAGCAAAGAAGACAAACTAGAGAAAACAATGTCATTGTTATGTCGCTGGCAACGATAACCACTAAGAATCAAGCACTCTCCTAAATGGCAGCACGAGTGTGCACATTTTATTTCCTCTCGAACTTTGTACACTAGTCTTGTCCTGGTGACCCATGCAGACGACGGCCCACGAGTCATTTGCAAGTATATACATACTATGGCATGGCCAACCAACCGAGTCTCTCAAAAAAAGACAGCTCAATCTGCAAAGTACATCTGCAGTCAAAGGAAAAAAAATTAACATAGAAACACCGGCACTGCTAGATAGTACTGGTGAGCAAACTAAACCCAGCAACTCTTGCTCTTCCACTACAAAAAGGAAGCATTTTCTGAAACAAGAAGACACCGCCCAGAAACCCTTCGTGGGGCATGCACATTAAAAGACATAACCCACTGCCGACAGTTCTATCTTGGCTGCTTACACAGAGAGGAGAAGCATGTTTGGAGTCAAGATGGCTGAGCGCTTCGTACGGAATAGCATGCTCGTGGCAGGCTCCTGGTTAATTTAAACTTTCACACAATGCGTCGAACGTGCGCCTCGTAACAATAAATATATACGTAACATTTCCATTCCTACAAACACGTCTTACGCTCTTCCCTATTCCCTTATCGAGTCTCTCCAGACGCTCGAGTCCTCCTCCTCCTCCTTCCCCCTTTCCCGGGACACCTCCTTTTCCAAAAAAAATGTTGCATCCTTCCTCGCAGTTCCAGCATCAGCATCCCAAAATCTCGCATCACGTTCAACAAGGGTACACTTCATTTCAAATCTGAAGCATACGGAATCAACTTCAAAAGGATCATGCAGCGTGCGTATCGCTCGATATGCTCGAAGGTTTCGTCATCTCTACAAAATAATTTGGGCGTGCTTCTATTGCATATTTTTTTTTATACAAGCTTTGTTTCAGATATTTGAACACACATTCCAAGTGATGCAGAAACTATGAGAAGCTAACAGTGTGGTGCTGGCATAGGTGTGGAACCTACTGTACATTTATATTAATCCACTTCAAAGCCGTACGCAAAGTCACTCGCTCTGCTCTCTGGCCTTTGCCCAGTCCTTCCAAACGACGTACAAAGACGTAAACTTGTTCGTGAGAAACGAGAGAAGCGGAGGTATTGGTTGTAATGCTGTACTTTGTTTTACCTCAAGTCCGACCACAATCCGATGAAGACAATCGAGCAGCGCAAAAAGCGCCTCGTCACAGCGCTCGTCGTTTTTGTGGGTACGTTATCACCAGCAATACCAATCGTGCATGGAAAAAAAAGTGCAGGATTGCAGAGCATTCGCTGTGCGCGACTGGTCCAGTCAGTGATAGGAAACGCACAAAGGCAACGAGCGCCGTTCTGTCGCATCGTAGCGTCGGCTGCGGCCGCACTTAAAGTCAACCGGAGTACGGCGACTTCATTGCAAAAGACAGTTGAGCAAAACTGGGTGGCAGACGAAGCTTCCCCAAATATGCGCCACCCGTGCACGAGTGGCACGGGGAGTCGATCCTTCTCGGCGACAAACGAATTGCAGCAGCAGTGGCGACGACGGCTAACACATGAAGAACCTGGAGGAATTGCTCGGCCTGACGGAGCTCGAGCCGGGGTTCGAGCTGGGATCGGCGAAGGGCCCGGCCCCACGCAGCGTCGTCTGGGTGCCCGTCGTCTGCGTCTGCGGTAGCACTGTCTGAGACGCGGTGGACAGCACCTGGTTGGAAAGAAATGTGCCATCCTTTGAGCCCCAATTATTCTGGGAGAGAATTGAGCTCCCTTTGCTTCTGCCCTTAAAGCCTCACTTTATAACATTTTATTTCTGGTGGTAATCTCGCAGTCCGTCTCGGAACGAGTGTGTATCTACAGTCAAGCCCGGTTATATCACACCCGGGTATTTTAAATATTGTTTATATCGAACAGTCCAAACATCCCCTTGAAAATCACATGTAATAGTATAGGAGCATTGTTTTTCTGTATGGAACTCCCATGGTGTGGGACACTCGATATAGCAAACTAAGCACGGCTGCCTGTGCTTCTTTTGTCAGATTGCGCCTACTGCGAGCACGTAGCTCACCTCGCGGGTCTGGCAGACCGCCAAGCCAGCGTATGCGCACAGGGATAAGCAAGGAAAGAACCAGTTGTAAAAAAAAAAAAAAAAAAAAGGCAATCGTTAAAAAAAAAAAAAAAAGTGGAGGATGGCAAAAGGGGAAGGACACTCGCGAGCGTAGGCAGGGCAGGGAGGGTCTGCTGTGCTGTTGGAACGTCAATCAGCATGCGCTCCATCCCCAAACACAGCTGTCGCTGCGCGACTCCTTAACTCCAAAATAAAATAAGAAAAAAAAAAGTCTACATCATATTGAGTGTGTCCACAACAACAGTTGAGCAATCGCACTTTGAATGCCATAGCTTTGTTTACCTTTTTCTTTCGCAGTTTTTGCTTTGCCCGTTTTTTTCTTTTTTGCCTTTCTTTCTTTGCTGCCTGAATTAATGAGGTTTCTTTTTTCTTGCTTGCTTTAACTTTATTCTATGGATAGAAGTTTTTTTCTTTTTTTTTATGCAACTCACTTTTTTAGTTTTTTTGCATTTTTTAAAAATTATTTTCGTGTTTACACCATCGCCTAAACGCTGCGGTGTTCGTGATCTTCCTCAACTAAGCTCTACTGTATCTAGCGGCTCTTAGAGGCCCTATTTGGTAAGGTCCCGTTTGTCACAGTCTTCGGTATTAGCAGAGACGCGCGGAAATTTCAACTGGAGCTTAAGTTAACATATTTTTGTAAATCAAATTATCGATATATCAAACTATTTTACGATTCTCTTTGAATTCAATCTATTCGGGTTCGACTGTATTACTCAGTTTCGATGATCAGCCAGAGGGAGATGCAATACGAGGGACCGAAAAGATGACCTAATATTAATGTAGAATCCCAAAAGGTAGTATTCTATGCGACCAGGCCAAGCTGTTTAACTTGGCAGACGCTCCAAGTATTAGAAGACCACCTTGGTAAGTGGAACTTGCTAACTAGACAAGCCCAATTCCCCAAAACGTTTGGTACCCTTCATCAAAAGTTCCCAAACTTCCCTATCTCGAGGAACACCTCTCCCTTTTGATTACTAGCCAAAGAATCCCTCCCGGTCTTAGTGCTGACGTATAGAGCAGGGCAGAGATCTACGGACTCCAAAAAAAGAGATGCACATACTAAGGCGAGTTTTTCACATGGCTGTGCTTCGATGAATGCTTCAAATCTTCTAAATTGGTGCTTAAACTGGACAAATACATTACTAGGGCGCGGAAATGGCCGAGGAAACTTGGGAACTCTAGGAGCCCCTGAAGCTGCTCTGGGGAACCCCATAAAGAAACCGTGAAGACAATTTGGAGGTTCAGTTTAACGGTTGAAATGAATGTCAGGTGTCTTTCAGGTAATGTTGACGAAGTTTTGCCCAAAATTGTACTTGTGCGCTACACAAATTAATTTAACAGATCCAGCAAACATCGCACCGGAACCAATGACAGTGACATCCGAAATTGCCAAAAATACAGCTTTTGAGTCACGTGAAGTGGGACAGGCTTTTCAGGCGATTGGACGAAGTAAATTCGTTTTCGTTTTCAATCACAAATAGTTAAAAAAAATCTTTTTAATTCAATAACAATGTAAACTATATTTTTGTCAGAAAGGATTACTAGAATAGAAATAAAATACTATTTCAGTCCATTAATGCGTGGACCCAAATAGCCGAGCCCTTTTCACTCGTGAATATTGGGCGGGGACCGACATAAAAAGCCTTTAGTGTGGCAACATTTTTTTTTGACAAGTAACATAAAAAGTTGTAGAGCCCTTCCACTTCACGTGAAGAAGGGGGACCAGCAAAGCTGTTTATCTTTACGACGTCTAGGGCGATGCCTAGAGCACGACCTCTAGGACGACCTCGAGGAAGACCTAGAGGACGACGTCTAGGACGACCTATAGGACGACCCAAGGACGACCTCAAGGACAACTTCTAGGACGACCTCGAGGACCTCACTACTAATAATGCCAAGGAAGGCTGACTCACGCCGGTTGCCCCCTCTTTTTATTTTTATTTATTCATACTTGTCACGACCAACAGAAAGTTTTCTGTTGGCATGTGAGGAGGCATTTTTTTTCCCGGACCCTAGCGCATAACAGCTTCACTGTAAAACATTTCACTGGACCAACACACAAAGGTGACAAAGCAGTCTCAAGGGGGCTGTGCAGTGATGTTGAGTAGGAATGTATCCCACTTTACACCAGCTTACTGGCCCCAGTGGGACCCAAGCATATTCGAACGCAATGCCACTGACCAAGAAGTGCCTTCGTCGCGGTAAAATTTTAAGGATAGAAGCGGACCTTCTCTTTCAGTCTCAGCTTCGCAAAACTCGACGACGAAGCTGCGGGCACAGTGCCAACAACGTGATCCCTGAGAGTGCATCAAGCTTTGCGATACCCACTGAGACGATATTTAAATGCGGCTCATACAGTGGACACGAGCACTGCATAGGCATTGGATTTTGGTTCGTGACAGTCGATGCCTCGACCTGCATTCAGATAGTGGCTCATGCCCAATTGCCGGGATGACAGAATGGCCGAACCTTAACAATGCTTGGAACCCGGCGTGCGCTTCCTGTGCCCTGCCAACCCCAGCGTATGGTTATGTTAAAAACATTGGTAGCATATATTCCAGATCACATGGCCGCTTTTTCCGGTTGCAAGTTAAGGGGTAAATGCCGTTCGCTTTTCTCGGATTTTCTCCGCGACTGCCGTTGCGTGGAGTTAAAAAAACTATGTGCTTTCCATAAGTTCTAAATGTCGAGGAATAATTCTAAGCTGTATTTATTGAAGGTACGAAAATTGTCACGTCACCCCTTAATTTCCATCTTTATGCCAACTTCCCAGAAAAGAAATTTCCCTCTTTACGTCAACTCCTCCGCGGGCCGTGGGGTCAACTTTGGACGAATGGTCGCTCGCTGCCTCACCTGGATGGTGGTGTTGCGCGCCGTTCGATCCACCTGATCCGTGAGCATCACGAAGGGGCTGGTAGCGTCCCGCGTGGGCCCAGAGTGGTTGCGGGCCGAGGCACTGCCTTCCTTTGAGATGGGCTTGCTGCACAGAACATTGGAGGGAGGGACGTCTCGAGACCCTTTCTGGAATAGTCAATCCCCGCACTGAGGTAAAGCAGTCTATGAAATCTCGGGCGCTTACAGACCGCCTGGACCTCCTCGCTACAAAAAGCGTCATTATTCAAATATCCTTCACCATGCTGGTCAGCTTGTTACGAGATTTGGTGCAAGCCCCACGCAAAGCGCTGATGGTCCTTCCTGAAAAGGCTATATCTAGGAATCTAGGCTAAAACATTCCGAGTCAAATTTATCGGCTACACTAGTTCAGGTATGTTGCTTGAGGTTATGTCAGGTGTTGATATCGCTCAGTGTCATCATCTTTTGCTAGCGCCTCATAACCCTGTCAGACGACGCCCTAAAAGCTCCTTTGTAATAAATGTCCTTTCCGCTGAAGGATATTCTGCTAAAGGAGCTGCTCTCACACGACTGGCAAAATGCTGTTTATCACCAATATTGATTCCTTTGGGGCTGAACTAAATTTTAAATTTTTATACTTACTTTCAAGCATTACAAGTTAATACCATCTATTTTACAAACCATCTCTTAAATAGAAATAATTTGGATAATAAAAAAAAAGAAACTCAAGAAGCTTTTCTGTACACTGGCAGCCACGAGTATACACTGATTCAGGGGTTTTCATCCCAGCGAACCCCAGCAAGCCTCAAAGAGTACCAAGACCCCCCCCCCCCCTTGTTGCCAACCAATCATACTGGGCAATGAAGGAGTTTAGATAGTGAACAAGAGTTCATTGCACTGACAGAATACGACAAAACGGGGTACTGAAGAGAGAATAACGCAGAGGGATTATTAACCTGTGGAACCCCTGCATTAATTAGCAGTGTGCCACACTATTGCCTGCAATCTTTTCATACTTAAAGTCTGCACTTTATTTACACCAGAGTTTAATGCTTTATACCAGCAATACCTGAAAGAGAAGGAGGAAGGAGACACAGGTTTCCACTGACAGGGTTACGGCTCCAATTGGCAACGAAAGTCTTTCATTGGTACAATGCCCTCAGCCAATGCCCGAAAAACCCATGCCGAGGTCAGTCTTTCAGAGCTATAATTTCAGGGAGACAAAATGATTTGCCCGCTCGCCTCCGGTGCCGTTAGCGCCTACTGTCAAGAGTACTTTCTTTCTACTAAATGACGCTAGCGAGGTTCTTTCTCAAAAATAATGCTTTAGTTGAAGGAGCATTTATAGTGCCATGTGGCACAAAGTCCTTCTCCTTTTAGGAGATTGTCCTTTCTACTAAAGGAGTGTAAGCAGTTTGTCTGACATGGGTATTATTAATGCCATCTTTTTTTGCTCTTTTTCTCAAGTAATCTACAAAGTGCTACGCACTTACTTCCCCTGCCATGGCCCGGGGGGTGGCCCACTTGCCAAATAAAAAGTGACAGAAGAAAACATCAAAAGGATACCAAATGTAAAAATGCTTCAACTCCTCAATTGTTCTTCCGACCAATGCTCGTTATACGACTCTGCACTTCGACACTGGCTGTGCTGTTCACAACTCCCAACTAGAAGGTTTCTGCCGATGCCTAACCACGCGAGTCCGCACCCTTGCAACCGAGTGACCCCCCAGTGCCCCGGGCACTCACAGGGGCCTGCAGATGCAGAGGGAGCCACGGTTGGTGCCGTAGATGAGGCCCTCCCCTGGCCGCGGCAGCCACCGCACCGAGTTGAGGCTGATCGGAGGCTGGCTGCCACCCTGCTGACTCATGTTGCCCACATGCTGAAGCAGCCCCGACACCTAAAACGCGCGGCACGCTTTTAGGCTGGCTTACACATTTGGCACGGTGCCGAGATAGCACCGAGTCGGCAACAGTATCGGCACCGCGTCGGCAGCGAGTGAACGCTGCACAGTGTCTGTAAATGGAAACGGGTTGGATCTCGCGTATCGTGAAGAGGCCTTTAGGTGGCACGTTGTAACACCATTGGCTCAAAGCCTGCTCACAACCACGAGCATCTCACTTAAATAGCTGCTATAAGATTAGGTTTAGCGGAGTCTGATAACGTCAGTTTAATCCGTCCTCAAAGGCCTCTTAAAACGCGATGAAGCCCGGATAGAGCAAAACGCGATGGAGCAAAATGCTCCTAATACTGGCAGAACGAGATTGAACTGCTAAACGAGGACAAAGGCCTCGAGATTAATGGAAACACATACCGAGGACGAAGAAGAGGCATCTGTGGGACTCAGCTTGAAGATTTGGGCCACCACCTGAAATGAGAAAAGGGCTCGCTCACTCGAACTCGCGCAATCTTGCTTTCACTGAAAAAGTCTTCGGGGCCACGATAAGCCACGGAGAAGATTCCTCATTTATATGATAAAAATAGTTCAAACCGAAATGAGGACGGAAAAAAAAAAGTGGGCAGGAGCAAGTGCTCACGAACAACCTTAAATTGTTAGTGAGCACACTGTTTTGTCCATTTTTTCTTTTTTATTTGTACCGTTTACTTACTTACCACAAACAATCACAAACTTGTCCAACTTTCCACTCACTTAATAAAGGGGCACTGACACATCAAAATCATATTTTTTTTTTATTATCTGAAACGATTGAAAACGATGCCGGGACATTACCCTCAAAATTCGAAACTTGGGAATTCAGTATTTCTGAATTAAAAAAACAATTTCCAAATACCAAATTTGAAGTTCCCGCGCGATCCGCGCCAGTGCAGCGAGTCAAACTTTGCGGTCTCTTGCGACTCGACTTTCTTTCGGACATCCGCTCCATGCTATCGTTGCCACCGCGACCCGAAGCGAGGAGGAGGTGGGCAGCTAGGCGGGATAGAAGGGCGCCGGCACGGGAAAAAACCGGTTTCTTCCCTGACTCGCCGATAAGCCTCTGCTCGAGTGCCGCCAAGTTTTCCGAGGGCAAATCCAGGAAGCGACATCACACCGAAATCTGATTTTTGGTATTTCAAAAAGAGGGGCCTTCGCAATTGCGTTAAAAAACATGTTTTACGATTGCCGTTATTAAATGTTATAGAAATGTCGCCTACAGAGCTTCTAAATTTCCTGATGTTTGACATAAACGATCAAAAGAAGCAAGGAGGTGAGCATGGGAAATATAAACGCCAAAAATAAAAAGCCCCGCGCGCGCGCGGGGATTTTTTTTTTTTGCGATGCAGTTTCTTTTTGCGTGTCTATGACTATAACTTGCATCATTTTAGATAATAAAAAAATAATCACCTTTTGGGGTGTCAGTGCCCCTTTAAGCATATTTATTTACTTCTACTATATGCCAAGCCAAAGCATGTTGGGACGACACTAATAAATCATTTCTTTGGCATGTTATCGTCGAGGAAAGCACAAGTGCATTTTCTTCAGTGCCCTCTTTATCCGTGTCTCTGAGACATGAATAAAAGGTGCGGAATACAGTGCAATCCACTTATAACGATACCAGATATTACAATGTACTGCTTATAACAATCAGTTTCTAGAGTTTCTAGACTAGAAATACAATATCTGTTACAGTAAACTTCCGTTATTTCGACCTCAAGAGGAGCTTGAAATTAGGTTGAATTATTCAAATGATTGAATTAAAAAAAGGACAAAAAAAACGGTTAAAATTAAACTTCCTTTTATTGGCCAAAGTACTCACGGATGGTCTGCTGCCGTCTGCGCTTAAAATGCGTGTCCAAAAGCATGCTCCGGAGAGCAGCGTAACTAAATGTCACGTCCCCAAAAAACCGCACACTACAAAAAAAAACAAGAAACCCAGAAAAAAGTAAGTTTTACTAGCCAACTTTGGCGCCAAGCAGCCAGACCGTCGGCAACAAACAAAAAAAAACAACAAAAAAAAGGAAAAGAGAACAAGCGCTTTCCGCCGTGCAAGATGGACTGCACACAAAGCTACAAAAAAGCGCTTTGAGGGCACGTGCTGAGAAAGCTTTACCAACCGACTTTGGCGCCAGGCGGCCCAACCGTCGGCAAGAAAAATAACAAAGAAAAAACAAAGGAAAAGAAAATTTGTGCTTTCTGACGCGCAAGATGGACTGCACATGAAAAGCGCTTTGAAAGCACGCGCTGTTTCCGCACCCGACCATGTGCTATGTTCTCCGCGCTACTCCACGCCAGATTGGTTGCACTGGCTTGTGTCATTCGCTACAGTCCATCTCAACGGTGTAGAGGAGCAGGCGCATATTTGCGCATGTTTGGCTTTGCAGCAAAGGGCCCATGTTTCGCCGTACATTGGTGGTTTTTCTGCCGTGGTGCCGTGCAATGTGAGCCCGAGCACATTCGCTCGGGACGAATTATCCTATGCGGAGTCTTCCAGAGTTCGAACTATCAAACTTTTCCTCCCATAGAAATGTATGAACGCTCTCCGGGACTTTTGAACACGATTGAATTAAACGAAAAGTCGAATTAACCGAGGTCAAACTAACGAAAGTTTACTGCATAACGATTGAACTTTCCGGTTTTTTCGTTATCATTATAAGTGCATTGCAGTGTAATACCACAACTTAGATTTCACAGTCTAGTAGGGTTGGGCGAATATTCGGTTATTACGAACAGCCAATCGAATTCCGTTCTATTCGACATTCACTTCGAATCGAATTTAAGTATTCAACAATATCGAATTATTCGACAATATAGGATTTTCAACCTTTCTAAATACAGTCAAACCCGACTACATTGAACCTGTTTACATTGAATTATCCCTTATATCGAACGATTCTCGTGCGCAGTAATGTTACGGTGATAATATATAGGAAAGACTATCGTTACACCGAACAAAAATAGCATCTGCTACCGATATATTGAACTGCCAAGAGCGCCGTTTTGCTCTGTAAGCTGGCTTTCCCCCAACGCGAGCAGCCGCATTGGGGAAAAGCCAGCTTGCAGAGCAGGCTAGCTTTCTTTTTTTTTCCGGGCGGCCGCGTGGGCTGCAGGGAAGAAAAGAAAACATAGCTTCAGCGGAGAGAGGGTGCTCCATGCTTCCTCTCCCCACTCCGTTCGTAAAAGAGAATATTATTTTTTTTTTCCAAACAACTGACGCTGCCGCCCAGAAAAAAAAAGCCAGCTCGATTTGTTAGTTAATTTTCCCCCAACGCAGCCACCTGCTGTAGGGAAAAGCCAACTTGCAGAGCAAAACGGCGCTCTGCAGAAGGTGCACCTGCTCGGACGTATTCCTTGCTCTCGGCATAGTTTGGCGCTAATGCGCAAATATAGAAGGCAGCGGTCTGAGCATTTTGGAGTCCGTTGATAGTGTGGAAAAATATTGTTATTGCGGATGCAATGAAGAAAAAGCGGCAGAAGATGCAAGACTACTTCGTTGTGTAATATTTCAGCAGGAAGTGGATTTTTGAGAGTCAAATTCATTAAAACTTTTGTATTGAATTACCCACTATATCGAACTGGTAGACGTTTTTTTGCGAGTTCGATATAAACGGGTTTGACTTACTCTGGCTTGCGCCACCTGGCTTGGATTTCTGGCCAGGAGGCGCGAGCTTCCGACCATTTTGACCATTTCATGCTCCCGAACTCAATACACTTAAAATTAACAATTAAAGTACTGCTAATACCAAATAAGGGCAAATATAAAACTATAGTTTAGACATATCTTGTGGTCTTTGTTGCTTGTACTATTCGAAGTATTCGATTTGAAATTATTCGGCCAAAATCACTAGGGGTGTGCGAATACTCGAATATACGAATTCGAATCGAATAGAAAGATCCCGAATAATTCGATTCGCGAATCGAATTCCTAGTATTCGGTCACTCGAATATTCGATATATTCGGCCAAAGACGCGCGGTCGGCGCGGAGCTGACAAAAAAGCCGTTTTTTCTCCCGATGTAAGCGCCGTGATATTAGACAGACCATGCGAGAAACACCTCTTGGTCCTACCATTCCACAAAAATCTAACGCACAGGTTAGAAAAAAGAAAAGTAACGAACGCCACGAACTTTATAGCACGCAGATTTACTCACGATCGTGACACAATCTTCCATTGAATCACAACCGAAACAGAGAAGCCGGAATTCCGCGCCATGCCCAATTCTTTTGACGAGTAAAGCCGATGTAGAACACACTTGCCAAGCGCCGAAAGCCGCAATTTCTGATTCGGAACGAAACGGAACGGAAAAATAGTGTGCCTAGATTTGAGAGGGTTTCCAACCATTCGATAGCCGCGCTTGAATTTTGAACTGCGAGAAGGTGACGAAAAGACGAAAGCGTCGATCGGGATCGGGATCGGGCAGGCAGGGCAGGCGTCGTCGCTCTTTTGTTTGCACGCCCTCTTTCCACGCGACAACACAACACATCCGCACTTACGACCAATCTGCGCTGGAGCCGTCTCCGTAATTTCAGTTTCGCTTGCTTCCTCTTTTAAATCAAGGCTCTCTAAAACAGGAGAGATACGACGGAAAAATGGATGCATAGAGGCAGTCGGACGGTGACTTGCGCCACCTAACCACGTTTTGTTTTCTTGCTTCAGATTATATTGTTTAAGCCTGTTTACTCAGATTTAACACCTATATGTTTATTTATGGGAAATAAAATCCCCGGTGTCCTTTTTCTTCCTTAAAATGGAGACCAAATATCGCAAAATGCCCCTTTTCTGAGATACACAAATATATATATAAAAAAAAGTTGCGGTGTTAAATTGTGCTTTTAACGAGAAAAAAAAAAAGGCACGTGTGGCTGTAACTTTTCTTGTTTTTTTTTCTGTGTGTGACGTTTAGGGTAGATAGATTATGTTTGCGCCATAAGATTGGATCTTTAGTGCCCAACGTCCAACAGCAACTGCTTTTTTTTTTTTTTCACCAGAACTTTTTTACATATTTGCTATTTTTCTGTACAAGATGCATATTCTACACCAGGCGCATACTCTGCACATATATAGTCTCATTCGCAGCACACTTTGAGAAATTCCTACAAATAAAATCACTATTCGATATTCGGCTTTTTTTTCTTGATTCGATTCGGTATTCGATTTGAGAACTACTATTCGGTATTCGCACACCCCTAAAAATCACTATTCGCTTCGAATTCGATTCGGACCTAAAATCCTCTATTCGCCCATGCCTACAGTCTAGTTATAATGGCAATAAATTACAGGGCCAGTTAGGAACAAATGATTAGCAGAACCAATGTACTAATATTTTAGATATGATGCAGAATCAAGGGTTTCCACAAAATTTTCAACAAAAAAACTAAATAAGGATTATTTTTACGTCGCTCAGCATTTTCTCAAATGCACCCTATCAAAAGCAAACAAACCCTACAACGAATCTTCCAACAACGTACAAAGCTTGCGTGGAAAGCTTTACTCCAGAAATATGCACTTCTATGCTCCCACTGCATACGAAAGCCTAAAACCGTGTAGGAAGTCACAAAAGCTCTTCGTGGCTTTACACAGGCTTGACGTTTAAGAGCCTCGACAAAAAATTATCAGGGAAAACAAATTGCATCCCAACTATCACTCGCAATGCACGCATTCTGTAGCAAAGAGATTGTGGAGACAGGTTGATGGACGAAGTGAAGCTGCAGTCACACTGCTCCCACCCCTCTTTCATACAATGTATTAGTAGTGCGACCACGGCTTAACGAGCACACCCAAAGCCTTCGAGTCGGGTGGCGGCCGGCGCCACCTGGTTGTCGTGGCAAGAAGTACCCACCTCCCTCTCGTGGGGGAAGTATCCCCTGGTGGCCGCGAAGCCCACGACGAGGTAGCGTGCGAGCGGGGACAGGCTGACTGAAATGGCATTGGCCCCGAAGTTCCAGGTGTGCAGCAGCTGCCCCAGGGACCGGGGGGACAGAGAGTACACGCACAGGGAGGCCCCCAGCAGGCCGCAGGGCACCAGGGCGCAAAGGAGGCCGCCCCCCAGGGCCACGCTCGCGTCATTGTGGATCTTGCAGCGGGGTGCCACCACACAGGCCTTGGCTGCGGGAGAGCACGGCACTTGAGCTTTGCTCACTTCGAAGGGCGCAGGAAGTGCGCAAGATTTGCCACTTGCAGAGGCACTGAAACCAAATACGATATAGCTTCGCCAATACTGGAAACTCCTCCAAAAACCCATAGGAGCGGCGGCGAACATGACAGTGGCGCCTCTAGCGGACTCGGAGTCTACGGAAGCAGTCGACGCAATGGAAAAGTATAGGCTCCGCGACGTCCTCGAGCTTTACGAGCCCCGTTTCGTCACCCTAACAGCAGAAACAATTTATTACGGTCAGTCCGCTTGCAAAGTGGAATCCACTGATTGCAACTGCAACAACAATCGAATAACAATGCGCGCATAAACAAAGATAGAACAGTTTATTTAGCAGTCTCAAATGCCTCTCAGGGGATCACACGCGTTTGAAACGCGTCTGGGAAGCGGAAAAAAGGCGTTTAGCTACTCGAACTATGTCGTAATCATTAAAACATTCAAAAACGACATGTTAATATTATCAGAGCAAGCACACGAGCTGCTGGAGCATAAAAACAAAACAAAAAGTAAGGATAAAAATGACCGTGCAAACACTTACCGAACTTTGCAGAAAAGATTGTGTCGCCATTCCCGACGAAAATAAAAAGAAACAGAAAGAGAAGCAAACAACGGCGAATAAAACAAAGAAGCTAGCAAAAAACTATTTCAACGACGACGATCATTGCGGCGCTTATAGAAAAAAAGAAAGAAAAATGGAAAGCAGCAAATGAATAGCTGGTGGTCGCCACCGGTGTTTAGTTCACAACAAACAAAGCGGAGGCAACAGACGAAACTAATGGAAAAAGGAGAAAGCGTCCCTTTTTTTTTTCGGCTGCTTGCGGTACGTTTGTTTATTTGCTTTCGCGGCGTAGGTACGAACTAAAAACAAAACAGGGGAAATAAATAACGTAGTGCAGCTCACACCGCCCGGTAAAAAAGAGTCGCAGAAATGTTTTGGCCGCAGGCAGCAATCTTCTATATGTGCTAGCAGTGAGTAACCTTTTTTTGCTTTCGAATTTCTTTTTCCAGTGACTTTGGCGGGTTGCTCGCTTGGCAAAGCAGTTTAAAAGCACATTCAAGTACTTGTTGATGTAGGAAGCCGAAGAAAGATTTTCCACCACATCGCACAAACTTGTTCTTGCAATGATAGGCAGCACATAGCATGCCTGCCATCTCTAAGTGTGCTCTGGTGTATGCTCGAATGCGGCCTGTTGATCAACAAACGATGGATGACCCGTAGCAGACGTTCCGGCCGGAGTACACAAATAAAAATTTGAATAAAAATGGACGAGCTTACACTTCTTAATATATTTAATAAATATCAAAAAGCACGTATGACGATTTTGGATTAGAAACTCAATCGAAGGCGAAAATAGGAGGTTATCGCAGTTGACAGTGGGAGAAAACAACAACAACAGCAAAGTTGCCAACGGCCCTCAAAATGTCCGGGCCTGGCGTAGCAGACGAACCGGGGGTAGTAAGCGCCGAATCGAAGGAAACGGAGTAAAAACTAAGCCAAACAAAGCAAGGATACGCGATGGTTTACACGTCGGGCAAACAAAAAAAAAAAGACCAAAAAGAAAACAGAAAATATACACAGCAACATATAAGCAGGAGGAAGAAATAATGCGGCAGAGTGGCGTCGCCTTAAAGATATAAAAGAAATAAGACTCAAAAATGGAAAGAGTAAAGACGGTTCAACGGGTGTCGGCCTTTATTGTAGAAGTAAAGAAGCAGCAAAGCAGAAGATGTTGGTCGTCCCCGCGCTAACAATCGTAATTTGTGCACTGTAAATAACGTGACTGAAATCAGCTTTTTTCGCTGGGCTACGACGCTCTCCCCTTCTTTCTTTGCAAGCGTGAGAAGTCTGCTTTTTTCGTAACTCCACTTTTGTTAATCTATAATCGCGTCAGATTTGCATATGCACGACGACTTCTTTCGGAGCATACTGACATCGCCGTAACGTACGTGGTTCGAAATTGACTTCTGCTTCTTCATCCGGAGACAATCTTAACGGGATAAGCCAGCTTGCCTGTTCGACGAAACGGTTATAAGCAAGACTGTCATGAGAAATGGGAATTGCAACAACAAAACGAATTGACTGATAAGAACAATAAAGTTAAAACGAAGCTATGTTCTGAAATGTTTGTACATTGCCCTTTTTCACGAAACAGCGCGAAGGCATACATTCGTGTTTTGCTTGGCTTACATAAGTTGTGACAGAATGTTTTCATCAAGAGAACTCGGAAATCGCACCCAGGAAGCTGTAACATCTTTCCCACGCAAAGAGAATGTCCTTCACTCATGAGCTGGCACCCATTTCTTAACTTTCAAAGCGGCGAATGTCCGTGACAATTTTTTTTCATTGGTCACCTCGCACGGAGATAAGCAAAACCAATGCATTTTGGAGAACTTGTCTGCTAGCAAAGACTCCGAGCTCGCCAGGAGTGCTGCAATCACTTTTCGCCCGTTTTCCGCGGGAGTTGCCAGTATTGGCTTCCACGGTATTTGCTGAAACTCTCTAGGGTCTGGCCACTTCAAACGGTATAGAAACTGAGTAGACATGGGCGTACCAACTGGGGGAGCAAGGGGGCGCTCCCACAGTTGTTATATTGCGTAGTAGGTGCAAGTTAATAGTATACAAAATTTTAGATTACAAAACTGTTTATTAAGATAATGGCAGAAGACATATATCGGGACTATTTTCTCTTGGAAGACAATCCCCCATTCCCTGCCCATTACTAAAACTCGACCAATGAAAATGCTGCATCTCGCGGTGAATGCGAACGTTATTATTGCAACACTTTTTAAGCTTGTTGTAAATTAGAGTGAGAAAAACGTAAACTGATCGTGGTGCGAGAAACATAGTCCGCAATTATCGCTCCAAAACCAGCGAACTATGTTTTCTCCCCGCAAGCTTGTTGCTAGGGGGTGATGCGTCGGCGCGTCGGCTCGTCTGCTTCCCGGGGCGTCTGCAGGCGTGCGTTTGCGGGACACGTGTTCCTTCTTCCCGTGGATCCTGACTCCGAAGCCAGCTTTGCGATCCTTCCACGTCAACGAGTCAAACTTTTCCTTGTCATCTGTGGAATGCGACTGTGTATTGCAGTAGCAGCGCAACGGTGCGGTGCAACGAACGACGACTGCCGAGCACAAAGTCCGGGCTCCTTGACGACGGTCCGCGCGTGTTCGAGAGATTCCTCCGCGGGTCGGCGGTCGGCCGCGTTGGTGACGCGCAGTGACGCCGGAACCCTTCGTTTGCCATTGGCTGACGCGTAAAGAGATGCCCCTCCCCGTTTTCCGGGGTCATCTCAGAAAGGGGGGCGTGCCGGGGACTTCGATAGCAATTTTAATATTGAAATCCGCCGCGCATGACCGTAATTTTATGATTTTTAGGATCCTTAGGGCCTGTGGATTGAGTTACCGCCATAAATAGACCATCGCAGAATGCTCCGGAGGGCCCCTTTAAACAATTTTTAAAAATGTTTTAAATTATTTTTTTTTTTATTATTTCAGCACAATGTGGTATTTCAGACATGTAGTAATCTAGGATATGTTCGAGAAAATCGAATCCTCATTAGAAATCAGAATGAATCACAAGGCTGGCACTCCCAAGGCCAGTCTCTTTCCCAGCACCCCAAACCATTCTATTCCTTATACTTATAGATACCCACTTCCAGATCAGCTTAACACACAACTTAGAACACCTCATAGTGAATTCATTTCTTTAGTAGAAAAGATTTCCCTCTTATTAAAATCTTTGCAATATGGCTTCTACCTCAAACACCTAAACTTGTGCTACAAGTGTGCATTGTTTCACTAGATAAGATTTTGCAGTAGAAAGGCTCTAATGCATTTGATTTTCTGACATTGTACATACCGGTATACCCCAACCCCGATAGCCGAATGTTTGTCCAACGTAGAAAACGACAGGTGCCACGCCAGGTCATTCACGAGACCAGACAGCAACCCCTTTCGAGAGGAAAAGTATGAGCAACTGTCTCACCATCTCCGATGTCTGGAAGCGTTGGCCCAGTCATGTCCCAGCACTGGATGCGATGTGTCAGGTTGGGCCCTGTCTCGTACACGCCTGGGCACCAGGGAACAGGCGCTCGCAAACGTCGTTGACGTAACACTTCGAGCGGAAGACGCTTTCAGATTGTCTAGTGCTCTGGGATCAGTTCTTACGAGAATAAACACAGAGTTTGGGAAGACATTTAGAGCAGTTTAAACAAACAAAATTGTGCGTCCAGATACAGTTTCGAGCCATACCTCAGTTTCCTCTCTCGACAGTTTGTGGTTTCTTTTGAACTGGCATTATAAACGGGGCTTTGGACGAGATAAGCGAGTTAGTAACAAAAACGTGAAACTGAGGGACGTACAGAAAAGAAATAAGCCAGCGACTAAGACACGCCGGCGGCCTGTTTTAATGCATTCGTGTACTTCCACATGTTTTGGTGCATTTTAAGCAGTGTTTCTGTAAACACAAACTGACAGTGCACAACACAAAAGACTTCACAACTGTTTGTGGGCACAACGAAAGAAAAAAAAATCATCATCATCATCATCATCATTATTATTATTATTATTACAGGTCACGGTGGCACAAGAGAGGCTCTAGACTTGTCAAACACAAAGTTGGAGCCACAATTTCACGGAGCAGGCCGATTGAACCTCCGCGACAAAAGTATGGAGTCGTCGCCTCAAAAGTCTGATCGGCGAGCTCCGTAAACTTCGACCCCAACATTGCGTTCGATGAGTCTGGGGCTCCAACAGACCCTTCCCAAAGGCCCGTCGAGCAACACTGACGCAGCGCGCGTACGGAGAGTGCGAATGGATCCAAGTGCTCGCCGAATGCCGGCACGGCGTTAATTTCTAATGCGAGCCGAGCCAAGTTTGCGCCAATCGCCGACGCAACCCTCATGTCCGATACAGACTCGGAGCAGGTACCCAAACAATGGCAGACTCGGACGATCAGCACTATAGCCGCCGGATGGCGCTCGCTTTTGCAAAGGGTCTGCCGGAGACAGTCCAAGTGCCGTTACTCCCGCCCGCCCGGCGGTGTGCACCACTCACTGAGCCTGGGCCTGAAGCCCCCCTCGTAGAGCATGGAGACGTAGGTGGGCGTGGCCCCGCCCCCCCAGGGGTGCTCGGTGGCCAGCTGGGCGGCACGGGACGACCCGCCGTACGACAGGATCAGGGGCAGGGGAGGGGACCGGGGGCGCTCCAGGGGCACCGGCCGCGTGGGGCGGGGAGGGGGCGACGACGGGGGGGGACACGTGCACCTGGGAGGGAATTGGCACGAGGGGCCGTTAGAAGCCTTTAGAAGCCGGGCCCATCCGCACGGCAATACAATGAGCGAGTTCCAGACTAAGTTTACGGTTCCGTCGAAATTTTACGACGTAAAAATTCTAGTCGAGGCATGTACAATTAAATACAGGCTAGGTCATGCTGTGGTCTAATCAGCTGTGATCAGGCTTGATCAGCTGTGCCAATAAGTCAGTGGCTATGATATCAGACTATCACTGCACCAACTCAAGTATGAGCCCGATATTTTATATACCCTTAACATCTCAATGCTATATATAACATCCTAACACTTCCAGCGTGTCACTTGTTCCTGACTGTCATTATGACGTTTGTTTGTGATAGTTTTCTCGTGGGAAACGCCAGATGAAATGCATTCTGTGTTAAAAGGAGAAGATGGATTCAGTTAACGCAATTGGTAGACACCACTAAAAAATAGACAATATGAACACACGCACACAAGCAATTAGATTGCACATTTTATGATGCAACAAGTTTGAAATTTAACAAATCCCAGGTAAGCTAATTAATACATCATCACTCAGGGATGTGATGGTCAGACAGTTGTGACAAGAAAATTCTTAAATGCAGCACTTTTGCTAGTAGAAGGCACAATTATTGGTGGAACATTGTCGTCTGTTGCAACTCCAGCATGCCTTTTTTGTTGCTGACCGTAGTCGTTAGGTCCCATTGGAATCGACAATTTATGTGCATGGGTGCCCTCAAGGGCATGAGTGCAAGGACGACTAAGCACAACACTTTTGTCTGCCCTCACAAAAAAATAAAAAGCACTTCCCAAAGTCACATGCACTTGCGTCCTCGTACGCCACAACGGACTAGAGAACTGCTAAGTTTGCTTTACAGGTTTTGTAGGTGCTTTCAGCACAGACCATGTTTTAGAAGCCGTAACCGACCTCCACAGGCATTCCTGGCCACCGAAATGGGCAATGGCGAATTTGTGCAAAGCCTGCTTTGGGAATAAGAGCACTGTGGCATCTAGGAGGTTAATAACCTATCGTGCAACCGCAATCGTGTGGCAAAGCGACCGAAACGAAAGAATAAAAAACATTTAGGTCAGTTCCGGCTGCGCAGATGCTAAGCTGACCAAAAGCGTCTACAGCGCGAGAAATTTGTGAAGCAAGAAGAGCAGCTACGCACGCAAACTTTCTGAAATCCCTTTTATTCTTCAGTCTTTGAATTTGTAAATGTCGTTGCAACTCAAAGTTTGCACAAGAGTTTATCCGAGGTCGCCTACGTCGGCAACCTCATTGCTGTCCTCCAACACACGAAGATAGAAGGAGCTACATTTAATAACTTGAGATTTACTTCGCTACACGGAAACATAATTTATCTCAGCTAGGGCGGTCACAACCTGTGCCCCCTCCCCAGCAAAACTCACCTCGGGCACCGTGAGACGCTCCTCCGCCCTGAGACGGTCCTCCCTGAGACGGTCCTCCGTGAACCGCAGCCAACGGCGCCCGGACCCCATCCTCGGAAAGCGGATGAAGTTGAAGCTCTCGTCATCAGAGGACTCCGACAAGGACGAGGAGTCTGAGGAGTCCGACAAGTCCCGAAAGCTGGGGTTGCGCCTCCGCAGCGGCGGACACTCCAAGTCGACGCGTGGCCGTGCAGGGGATGCGGGAATCCCAGACGTGGAGGCCACGCCGCCCGGCGGAGACTCAGGAAGGGTGGCGAGGGAGGCGAGCCCAAAGACTCCGCCCAGGCGGCGGGAAGGGGGGGAGGGGCCAGAGGCCCCACCCCCCCGGCGGGGGGTGGTGCCCGGCACGTTGGCAGTGCACGGAGATGCGGGGGAGGAGGACGTGGAGGAGGCACTGAGGTGGAGCTGGGTGAGGCGATAGTCTGCGGCCAGGATGCGCTGCATCTGGCGTGTCAGCTGCAGGCTCATCTCTGCGCAGAGCGATGTTACGCCTCGTAAACCAAACTGTTTTGAAGGAAATCAAAATTGTTGTCAACGAAATTTAAACAGTTTGTAGTCCAACGATCCAACAATCCTCTTTATCCTTCCCTCTTATGTTCAGCTCATCCCACCCCGTACGTTTAATCAGCTAGTTCAACTTATTCCCGGCGCAAGTTATAAACGAAAGGCTTGTGGGAAAAAGGCCACATGTCGAGGTCAATGCAAAGCCGGCAGCTCCCGACGACGGTCGTCGCTGCACATTCGCAATCGAGCCTCGCAGAGACGCCGAGTCACCGCCGAAGGTCGTGGGCTTAAACGGAGGGCAGGGGCCCTCTGCGTAAGCTCACAACCCCTGGACGACGCCACATTTTGTTTTGGCATAAGTCCAGATGCAGCCGACGCTATGAGGTAATGTGACGAATCGAGCAGCATCAAAAGTGCAAGTCACTAGACGTTCCGCCAGGAGAGAAGACGTACAGAAACATGACCAACACCATGACAGTGTGCTTTTGACACCGTCCAATTGGTCCCATCAGTTCGAAGTGTCGACTGCGTCCGGACTTGAGGTGAAACGAAGTTTAGTCGCCCTCTGCAAGCCGCCGTCCTCGTTGGCCGGGCCATAGATTGCGTTTCGAGCACGCGCAGTAGTTCTTACTCGGATGTAGTGCACGCACCTACGGCTCGGTGACTTAAGCGTGGTTCAAACAGACTCGAAATACGGAATGCGGGACCCGGATTCGTACTGACGTAATCACCTCCGGCCCCCGTTACGGATCGAAGTCTTCACGGTTTGGTTTGAACAACGCGTGGCCACGGGCCCCCATATACGGGAGCTGATGTCACGGCGGCTCCCCAGGCAACCAATCAACGGCTGTCGTCAAGCGGGGTCGTCGCCGCTTGCACGGGCAAGGCTAGACGCTCTGGACGAGGCAGGCGACGCCAGCGACGCTTCGCGCTCCGTCTAGAGCGGAACTGGCGCCTCGTTTTCGTCGCTTTGTTTCGCAATGGCGTCGTCTCGGCAGGATCCCGGCTACGAAGCTCGAATTGCCTCACTTATGAACCTTTGTGTAGTCAGGTATGTCACAAATGCAAGAACTATCAACTGGCGTCTGCTGACTACTTTCGCGGCTGCGTGTGAGCAGTACCTGTGGAGCGTGAAAAGAAGCGAAAGGCCGTCCGCGAGCTCCTTGTAGAGGGCACAACCCTCGCGTACGTGATTGCCGCAGGCAACCCTGTGCCACCGCGACGCAGCTTCGCATATCATTTTCGAAAGAATAAAGTCACTTCTGGTTGTGGCACGAACGTGTACAGACGAACCTTCTTCTTGCCCTGCATGGTCTCCACATGTTGTCAGGAGTGCCTAACGTTATGCCTAACGAAGTAGGCATCGCCTTCGCATGAATCGTCTCTGCCGTAACTGCGTAGTTCGCTCGCCCGTCGCCCGGCTTTCGACTGCCGTGTTCCTGCTCGCTGCCATGCCCGACGACGAAGGAGACAGTGTGAAGCCTTCATGACAGGGCCTTTTTCTGCATCAGCCAGACCGCTTCGACTTTGAGAACGCCGGTTCCTGGCCGACGTGGCTAAGCCTTTTCGAGGACTACGCCTTCGCTTCCGGGCTTCGACAGGCGTCGGGCAAAGTTCAGGTCCGCACACTTCTTTATTGCATGGGGCCGGAAGCTCGTCCTCTTCTTGCGACGTTCGGCCTCGGCGACGCTCCTAATGACTACAAGGTGGTCGTAGAGAAGTTTACGGCCCATTTCGCCCAACCCCTCAACGAGGTGCACGGGTCGGCGCAGTTTCACCGGCGCGTCCAGCAGCCGGGGGAAACAATGGACAGCTACTATGCGGAACTCTGCAAGCTCTGCAAAAGATGCAACTACCCGTCACCCGAGGTCGTGGAACGCCTTGTCCGCGACCGCTTCATCGTAGGCTTACGCGACGCTCGCCTCGCCGACCAGCTCTGCCGCAACCCCAAGTTGACCCTCAAAGAAGCATGGGTGCAGGCGAGACAAGTAGAAGACGCCCAAAAGCAGAGAGACCAGCTCACAGGCCACGACACGCAGTCTCGACCGGTGAGCCTCGACGCTGCCAAGTCTCGGCAGCCACAAGCAAGACGCGTCGAGCACAGCTCAGCACGCGACAAGCGCACCTAAAGCTCTAGCTCGTCCGGCTACTGCGGCCGCGCTTCACACCCTCGCTCGGAATGCCCCGCCCGCAACTCGTTGTGCAACCACTGCAAGAAAAAAGGCCATTTCGCGGACGTCTGCCGTTCCCGGAAGAAACGGTCGACCCAGGTGGCAGCGCTGGGATTGTATGCCGTTCGCAACACTGACCAAGGCAAGTTCGTGGAAGTCACTGTCAACGACTACACGGAAGTGTTCAAGGTTGACTCGGAAGCCGAAGTTTCAGCCGTCTCGAACACCTTCCCCAACCTGCCGCCGTCCCTCGACAAGGTGGACAACACTCTCTTCGGGCCAGGGCAGCAGCCACTCAACATTCTCGGGTCCCTTATGGCCACTTTGCTGTGGAGAGGCAAGTCCACCCAGCAAAGACCGTACAAAGTAAAATCCCTCTCCGTGCCTCTTTTGGCTTTCCAGCCATTCAGGCACTTCAAGTCGTCAAATTCGTCGACGGCGTCTCATTGAAAGAAAAGGACCTTCCTACCGTCAAAGTCTCTTCTCAGACTCGTGACAAGCTGTTTAATGGCCTCGGATCTCTCTATGAAGAATACAAGATCCGCCTCCAGCCAGACGCTGTTCCATTTTCTCTTAGCGTGGCAAGGCGCATCCCCCTCCCGTTGCGTGAAGTCGTCCGCAAGGAACTGCAGAAGATGGAACAAGAGGGTGTCATTCGCCGAGTTGGCACGCCAACACCATGGTGCGCCGGACTGGTGGTCGTCCCCAAAGCCACTGGGGGCCATAGGTTGTGCGTGGACCTTACAAAGTTAAACCGGGTGGTCCTGCGAGAACACCACGTTTTTCCCACGGTCAACCAGGTCCTGGGCCTGCTTGGAGACGCAGCGGTGTTCTCCAAGTTGGACGCTAAATCAGGCTTCTACCAGGTGAAGTTGGCGGAAGAATCGCAAGAACTCACCACATTTATCACGCCTTTCGGACACTACTGCTTCCGTCGGATGCCCTTCGGCATCACCTTTGCGCCGGAATTTTTCCAGAAGCAGATGTCCAGGATTTTGGAAGGCCTGGAAGGCACTGTGTGCATGATAGACGACATACTTATCTTCGGACGCACTCTCGAAGAACACGACTCCTGCCTGCAGCAAGTCCTGATGCGACTATCTCGGGCAGGCATCACCTTGAATGAGAAGAAGTGCTGCTTCCGCCAGAACGAGGTTTCCTTCCTGGGGGTGATGGTATCTGCAAGGGGCATCCATCTGGACCCAAGCAAGCTCCAAGCGATCAAGGAGATGAGTGCGCCAACTGACCTAGCAGGTGTAAGACGCCTCCTTGGCATGGTGAACCACCTCGGGCGTTTCCTTCCGCACGTATCGGACATTGCAGCTCCTATCAGAGCGCTCCTCGGCAAGAATGCTGCGTGGAACTGGTCCCACGAACAAGAAACAGCATTCACCAAGCTCAAGCTGATGCTCGTCTCGGACCGCTGTATGGCGAAGTATCATCCGGCGTACCCAACAGTCGTCTCAGCGGATGCCAGTTCATTCGGCTTGGGGGCAGTCTTTCTACAAACTCAGCCTTCCGGCGAAAGAAGACCAGTTGCTTTCGCGTCGAGGTCCCTTACAGCGACTGAACTACGATATAGCCAAACGGAGAAGGAAGCCCTGGCAGCTGTATGGGCTATTCAACGGTTCAACGAGTTTCTCCGTGGGCTGGTCTTTGACGTAGAGAGAGATAACCTGCCACTGGTCTCACTGTTTGGCAAGATGGACTTGGAAGTGGTACCTCCACGTATCTAGCGCCTTCGACTGAAGGTGATGCGGTACCAGTTCACAATGTCGTACGTCCCTGGGAACCTTCTCGCAACAGCGGACACCCTGTCTCGCGTCCCCACAGAACCTGCCGATTCGTCTCGCCCTCTAGACACAATCGAAGTGTCTGCTGCGGAGGTCCTTCACAGCTCAACAGAAGCAGCATCCCTACAACTGGAGGCCCTTCGAACAGCTCAAGCAAACGACAGGGAGTGTCGCGCACTCACGTCAATGTGCCACAACGGGTTCCCTCCGAAGTCGAAGTTACCGCTTCACCTGACGAAGTATGCAAGCGTGTTGGACGAACTTTCGGTTTGTGATGGTTTACTTCTAAAAGGCACTCGCATCGTAGTACCAACATTGCAACGTGCGACAGCGCTGACTTTGATTCATGAAGGCCACCAAGGCATTAACCGATGCAAGGCTCGGGCACGGGAATCAGTTTGGTGGCCAAGTATCAACGCTGATATAGCAGCACTCGTGGCACAATGTGAACAGTGCACGTCGTACAGAGACAATCCAGCAGAGCCACTTCAGAGCACGCAGCTTCCAAGTCTACCTTGGGACTTTCTGGGCGCTGACTTGTTTCACCTGAACCGACAGACTTACCTCCTCGTGGTCAACTATTATTCCAGTTACCCGGAAGTGGACTCATTCAACTCTGCAACAGCTGGGCATGTCATCCAAGTACTCAAGAGCATTTTCGCTCGTCACGGCATCCCATCCACTCTGCGTTCAGACAACGGACCACCCTTCCAGTCCCACGAGTTTGCTCGATTCATGGCATCTTACGGAATCGCACACCAGACAAGCAGCCCCAACTTCCCACAGTCCAACGGGCAGGCAGAGCGCATGGTGCGCACGGTGAAGAACTTGCTACGCAAGGCGCACGATCCGTGCCTGGCTTTGCTTAACTATCGAGATACCCCGGGACCCTCGGGTTTCAGTCCAGCACAATTGTTGATGGGGCGCCGACTCCGCACTCGACTTTCCAAGGACGGGAGATTGCTGGTGCCAAGTAGCAAGCCGCAGGAGGAGGTGGCCACC